CCTAATTGGAACTGCTTAGAACAAAAGCGGATTAAAATCTCCCACAATGAAATTCATTTGCAATTTCATAGGTAGTCCCCTACTTCCACTTCTATAATTTTGAGAAAACATTGCAATTTCATCAATGGTCCCCACTCGTGGGCCAATTTCAATTGCAAGCAAATTTGCACCCTTGCAATAGCTTCTCACATCATAGCAAGTGTAGGATGCAATTGCACCTCCTTGCTTAGGTATGACCATTACTGCATCTCCTCACCTGTCTTAGGAAAATTAGCCATGGCAAATTCACAAAATACTGCACGCATAGAAAAATATTTGTCTGGATAATTAAAAAAAATGGGAGACTTTCCTAGTCAGATGATGTACTGGCTCCCCTCAGTACCTGACAGTTTTGAGTGCTGGAGAATAAGACTGGAAAAAAAAAACCAACAAAGCCTGAGTAAACTTATTAACAAAAGACATCCAATGCTGGCCCCTTTGCTACTCCAATGCTCCACCCCGCCCTGCATCAATCGACTCTCATGTAAGCCGAGGACGTTTGCTTGAGGATGCCTCAGGGGTCTCTTCATGCTCCGTATGCCGAAGATCAATAAAAGTATTGGTCAATTCGACGATACGGTAGACTGGCAAATAGGCGCACTGGTCCTCCTTAGCATAAACCCCCATATCCATCCCAACCCTTTCAAGAAAGGTGGTCAAGAAGGTGGCATATGGAAAGGCAGTGTACCAGTTTTCCCCTCTAGGAGCAGCCTCAACCATGTTCAGGCACATGAGAGATGCGAGGTTAACAGGAACACCTCTTTGAGCTTGCACAAGGATAAACAGGTCAAGTTTACGAATAATCGAATGACCACGGTACCTTGGCATGAAGCAGTTGACGATCATCCAGTGGAGGAATCGAAGAGGATCTGGGAGGAAAGAAGCCTGGATGCGCCCCTTCGTCAGTTTCTCCAGTTCAACTTCAAACTCAAAATCGTACAGCCTCCCAAGATCGCTTCTGCTATCAATGGGGTGTCCTGCGGCGGGGAGATCGAGGATCTCAGCAAACTGATGAGGCTGGAAGCAGACTCTATAACCCAGGAAGATCGACACGAGATGAGAATCGCAGGGACCAGACAGCTCTAAATTGTGGTAGAACTTCCTCACCACATGCGGGCAGTAACTGGTGCTTCCTCGACTCCGGAGATCAATGAACTTTTCCCAGCCAAGATTTTTAATTAACTTCTTCACTTCTGCAGGGAAAGGACTCAGGTGGATGAACTCGTACTCTGCCACAATTGATGTCTTGCTTGTGAATGAAAGATAGTCCCCGAGACTTGGGGTGGATCGGCAGTCATCGTTTGAAAGAGATAGTATCCCCATTTCCGCAAAAGATTTACCTTTGTTTGCCATGGAGTTAGAGGAAGAAGGAACAAGGGAAGGTGAAGATGAAGGAAAGAGAGAATGTAGGTGTAAGAAAAAGTGATCGTGGGGGTTGAGTGTGGAGACGGTTGAGTCTGGAATGTCAAGAGTTAGAAGATTTCGGAAGATATGTAGTAATGATGATGTTAACTCGTGTAGCTTAAACTAGGGTAAGTAAAGCTAGTTAAACTAGGGTTGGCGCACGAATTGATACTGCAGGAGAAAACAAATGGGCTCGCACGTTCCATGCCCACTTTTGAATATTGCATGGGTCATGTACAAGCCCACGTTTGAATCTTATTTAAAAGCCTGCAAAAATCAATGATCAGACCTAGTCCAACTAGAATTACTCCTAAACGCACCGTTAATACATAAACACAAACTAAGGAGACCTCTCCATCCGATTCGAATCAAATTATGTGTTCTTCATCTTCTTCCTCAATCCTCTGGGCGAGACGAACACTACATATCAGGAAACCTAAATTTCACCGAGAGATATAAGGTTCGAGAAAATCACAATAACGCTAAGACAAGATGACAAAGCACTAGCGACATGAACCCTAGGGTTAGCAAACCTCTTTCAAGGGTTCTTTTTCAAATTAAAAGTTCGTTGAACAAAATAATAGACACGGTCGCCGTAATCGTGTTAGAAAGAGATAGGCGAGGGGAAATAAAATGGCGAAGAAGAAACAAGAAAAAATAAATTGGGAAATTCAAGCTACGTCGAATGTGGATGCAAGTAATTGGGATTCAAAAAGATGATTAAGTTGGGGAGTTCAAATTGGATGGGGAGCGTCTCTTGGAACTGTGAAGGGGTGTCCCTCCAAGACGAGAGAGGGATCGTGTAATTGGTTAGGGAGACTGGAAATTGGTTAGGGCGGCAGTGGGTCTACCCAATTGGGTTTGCAGTCTTAATCAATTTAATTTAATCGGGTCAGTTAGTTGGACTAGGATGAAAAAAAACTTAACGCGGCAAGAGCCTTTTTGTAATTTGTTTAGTTATTTAGTGCGCAGGAAGGTTTAACAAACGTGAGCCGTGGAGATTGAAAACGAATGGTTAAGATCGGCCAAGGTACCCGTACCCGGATTTTGCCCTGGGCACCGTAGAAGTCACCATATATATATATATATATATATATTTATTTATTTATATATACTAGTGATTTTATCGTACCTAGGTAAAATCAAATGTATGACATACATTGAGTAAAAAAATGATATATAGACATTGAATGGACCAAAGTTTGGCATCTGGTATTATTCCCAAACCCTTAAAGATCAAAATCTAGGTCTTACTTCTATAATTAAATCTCATACACTAAAATCAATTTAACTAAAAACAAAAATTGACGGTCATGATTCGTTGAAATATATGCGACAAATTACATGCACCATTTTAGAGGTTAGGCTTTATGATTTAGATAACTAAGTCCGTAGGATTGACTCATGAAAGGTTAGGGTATAGTATCATGCCCAAAATTCGGATAATTCGAGGTCTAGATAGCGTCTTATTACTCAGGGTATGTCGTACCCTAGATTTTACCCAAAGTACTATAGAAGCCACAATCTGATTCTCTAAAGTCAAACCCGAAGTTCAATTTAATAGAAAATATTAATGGTTCGTTGAGATTGGTCGGAGCTCATAAAAGAATATCTGACGGTCCTATCACATGGAGTATGATATACTCATGGAGTAGGGATGGGAAACGGTGCGATCTGGTCCAGACTAGACCATATAGACGGTCTACGGTCAAGACCGAGAGACAAAAGTATAGACAAGATACCAGACCACATACTATACGGTTCAGACTAGACCCCGCATGTGTGGTCTAGTTCGGTACGGTTTGGTCCAGACAGACCACATTGAACAAAAAATGAACACTTTGTTAAGTCAACTACACTAAAATTGAACCGATAAGTATAACTGAGGAAAAAAATTGTTTTTTCCTTAAAACAAAAAATCCAACATGCATGAATAATTTTGACTCTCTAACTTTTAGTAAATAACAAAGATACAAAGTCGAAGAATACCAACTTGCACCATAATGTCACAAACATTGACATAATGTCATATGGGGACATGATCTTCTCTATTCTCTAGTGAAATGTAGTTGTTAGTGAAGGAGGGGACGAGATTCTCAAAATTAAGGTTGAGATTTGAGTCTCGTTGGGGGGGGGGGGTTGAGAGAGTGGTCGACTGAGATACTAACATGTATTAGGAAGTCGGCTAGATCCACGGTTTGGTTCGGTAAACTGCGGTCTAGACCAGACCAGACCAAGAGATCACAACTTCATATAATACAGATCATGGACCATACCTGACCATTCTTCATGGTCTACGGTCCGGACCAAACTGTGTGGTATGGTTTGGTCCACGGTTTTTCAAACGATCTGATCTATTTTCCCAGCCCTATCATGAAGTATACAAATCATTACCATATATATATATATATATATATGGGGAGTTCTACCGTACCCCGGGTGAAATCCGGGGTACCGCATACCTTGAGTAAGAAAACACTATCCAGAACTTGAATTGACTGATCTTTCAGACATGATACTATACTCTAACCCTTAAAGATCAAAATCTAGGTCTTAATTCTCTAAATCTTATACCCAAAGATAATTTTAATTAGAAATAATAATCGACGGTTATGATTCGTCCAAATATAGGCAAAAAAATGAAGGCACCATCTTAGAGTTTATAGTTTATTATTTAGATAATTAGGACCTAGGGTTCACTCATTAAGTGTTAGGGTATAGTATCATGCCTAAAAATCCTGCTAATTCGAGGTCTAGATGGCCTTTTCATACCCAATGTACGCGGTACCCCGGATTTCACCCGGGGTACGGTAGAAGGCACTATATATATATATAATATTCAAACATTACTATTTTACATACCAATGCTTCCTCTTGACTGGTGGATTGCACTGCAGATCTATAACCACTATACACAGGGTCATCAGAGCCTTGGTATCAGTGGTGGATCCAGGGGATGGCCACTCCGGGCCCCGGCTCAGCCCTCCTCTGGATCTATAGTTAGTATAGGCCTTATGAATTTTTCGATTTTAGATATTCAGGTCGTTGTTATTTTAATATAAGATTGGGTATAATTAGAAAAATAATTCAGATGAACATATTCAAAATCACAACTCTAAATTTAGCTTATAAATTCTAACCCCAAAGGTTATTCGTCTAAAACAACAATGAAACCTAAAAATTCAAAAAGTTTAAAACGTAAAAGACTAAAACATATATGAGGTTTGTTACCTTGGAAAATTTACTAGAGCAGCTGGTGGATATAGGGATGGAAACACAATGCAAATTGATTAATAGATTGATTTGTCTAGTGTTGATGCTGCTCGTTTCAACAGCTAATATGAATAGAACCTTTTCAACAACGAAACATGTGAAAATTGATTTGCGCAACAAAATGAGCGATGGATTTCTAGTCGATTGCTCAAGTATTTTATTTGAAACAGTGTATACTATTGGTATGGATGTGGACTCCATTATTAATGCATTCGCTAAATTAAAATACCGTCGTGTACAATTTACACTGTAAAAAAATTATAATCATTATTTTTTTTACTATTCTAATTTTCTAATAAAATGCGGCCCAGTGCACTTCTGTGTTCTGGATCCGCCGCTGCTTGGTATACCAGTATCTTCGAAGGGATCCTCTCATACTCCAAGCACTGCAAGTAGAGGTGGCAATTAGGATCCAAATCCATGAATCCAATCCAATCCATCCACCAAATTATCCACTTAATCCAATCCATTTAAATTCAATCCATTTGATCCAAATCCAATTGGATTGGTGGGTTCATGGATCAATCCATGGATCCAAATGGCAAATTACGATTTGGTACCTATATTTTTTATATTTTATATTTTGGTACCTAAAATTTATATTTTTAACGAAAAATATCATTGGAAAATTACATTTAGGTACCTAAAATTTTTCATTACGACATTTTAGTACCTAAACTTTTCAAAATTTACATTTTGGTCCAAGCCTTGGATGTCATTTGGATTCATGGATCAATCCACCAATCCACTTGATCCAATCCATGAATCCACCAATCCATTGGATCCAATCCATTTGATCCATGGATCCACCAATCCAATCCACGAATCCACGAATCCGATCCAATTGCCGCCTCTAACTGCAAGTAACCATTCACACAGCCTTCCAACGAAGCAGCCACGCCTCTCAAATTCTTCACCACCAACTTGTGGAGATCCTCGCCTGCCCAAATCGGGTATATGCATATGTTCACAAGCAAACATACACCCGCACCGGTGCCAATCAACAGAAACCGGAAAATCGCAGTTCGAAAGAAGGACGAATCGATTCCAGATACCAGCACTATGCAATATGTTAGCAGGAACACTCGGAATCCGTACTCGTACCGTTTTATGGGTGGATACAGTTTTGCATAGCTGGCACAGAATCCAGCAATGAAGATGCTGATTATGATAGCTAATTCCTGGTACTTGCCGAAATACACAGACAGCTCTGCATTTCCTAGGGCAAGCGCCCCGGCTGAAAATGTGCCCAGGCCACGGTTCAATCCTTTGCTCAATGTGCCACCTGAAAAATGCAATAAAATCATGTATTTAGCAAATTAATTCTAGTTCTAATTTTATGCAATAGTACTATATTTATGCAATTTCTCGAAACTTAAAGGAAAAAAATAGAGGCAAAATTAGTTTAAGAGTGTCCGTCCCTCTTACCTAGTGATGACAATGGGGCGGGTACCTCAATTCTCATGCCCCGCCCCAAGTTATTACGGAGCGGGCGGGTAAAATCCGCTTGGGTATGGGGCGGAGCGGGTCGGCCCACTCTTACATATTATTTAAAAAAAATACACGCAAATTTTTACTTTTACGATAAAACGAAGGGAGAAACAATTTACGAATGAAAAATAGTGATAATAGAATGAGTAATGGAGTCTAACAAGTTGAAAGTTCGACTCTAACTAGTTGAAGAAAAATCAAAATATGAAAAATATGTATGAATACTATAAGAAATTGAGATAAAATGGGTATAGGATATGAGACGGGACGGAGCAGAGTGAGTCGGAAGTATATACCCATGCCCCGCCCCACGCTACTGCAGATCGGGTAATACCCGCCCCATCACGAATAAGGTCAGTCAGATAATACCCGCGAGACGGGTTGAAATTGCCATCACTACTTTTACCTACAGTGAACTCAAAGACCACTACGACGGTGATAATAGCCCATATGGAATACTGGCTGACATCGTTCAAGTGTCTTCTCAGGATCATAAGCATGGAAACAGTGGCCAGAGAGAGACCCAATTTAATCGCGAAGAACACCTTCCTCGGATTCGTACTCCCCATTTTGTAAAGATCGGCGAAAACTCGAGGGACCCCATTGCAAAATCCGACGATCCTATCGGAAAGTGATCGGAAACACCCACACCTGACATCGGAACTGCCACCTTCATCATCTCCGTATTGGGAGTTGTTGAACCCGAATTCAGAGTACCCTTTTCGAGACAACAACCTCTCTTTGCTTTTTGCCTCAAAATTTTCTTGCTTGACTGAATCGATTCCTCTAGTAGAGGTCATCACTTGTCCGGGAGAAAACTCCTCTTTTTTCCTCCCGGGGAGATTGGAGATTTCACCAATTTGAGGCATTCAAAAGGAAATCGCTAGACTCGGATCTTTGCTTTGCAAGTGAGCTTTTTAAATGTGTGTTAAAACATTTTAGTTGATTTTGCGATGGTCGGGGAGCGATTGTTGCTGTCTTCTTCCTTTATCAAGGTTGTTAATTCTCTATTGAATCCCCGGTTGGATCCAAGTCAGACTTCAAAACGGCCTCCAGAAAGCCCCCCTGTCCGACCCTTAAAGAGAGAGAAGAAGAAAGGGGGAAGAGAGGAAGAGACACGAAGGAAGGGAGATGGTGGGTAAGTAATGGAGGTTAGATAGATTTATTTTGTAGAAAATAAGTTTTTAATAGATATATGTAAGATAAATTTTATTTCAGTCATTAAATCTTTAATTACTAACTTATTTGTATATTTATTTAGATAACGTCTAAAACGGCTCAAACCGGCCGGACCCCGATCAGACCATTAAATCTCAAACCCCTTATTTGACCGGCTCAATGACTTAAACCGGTTTGACAACCTTATCCTTGATTACTTATTCCTTGTATATTCTATTCCTTGGTAAAATTTTTGTCATAATCTAGGATTTGTTTGGATTTTTCAACTTATCGCATCAAATTAGGAAGAAAATTTACTTTATGTGAAATATTTTTTTTTAAATACTTAAAATGATTGGTCTAGTGATAATGTTGGAGAATAAATTGACCATGTATAACTTCTAACAACTTCAGTAATTGGAATCATTAGTTTTTTACTTGTAAATAGGGTTGTTAATGAGCACAGCCGAGTCGAGTTTTGTCTTGTTCATGTTTGGCTCGTTTATAAACGAGCTGAGGTCGAGCTTGACTTGTTTATAAACGAGCTGAGTCGAGTCGAACACGAGCCAACTCATTTATTAAATCTTGACACATCATTAAGATCGAAAGTTCGACTCGTACTCAACTCTAAGATAATTTATAATATAAATACCCTAATATGTATATATGTCATATGTGATACATGTGATTACCTAATGTTATGTCATATATGAGACGTATTTGCTTACATATACTCAATTTATTAAACACCATATGAGGTGATATATACAATTTAATAATTATATGCATCATTAACAAACCAACTCAAAAAATATAGATTGATTTTCTCATAAAGCTGTAGTCGAGTTGGCTCTCTAGTCACAATGTTGGGACATCTCATAAGTTCAAAACAAGACAGTTCATGAGTTGTATTCAACGAGCAACCTAATCGAGCTAGTTCACGAGCCGAACAAGGTAGAGCTCAAGCTCGACTCGTTTATTAACGAGCCGAACTTTTTTTAAACGAACGAGGTTTTATCGAGTTCAATACCGAGCCGCTCACGAATAGCTCACCTCATTAACAACCTTACTTGTCACAGAGCCTTAAACTTAGATACCACATGACACATGTTCGAACATCTACAAACCATATATTAACTATTAGTTTACACACAATGTAAGGGCCATGTACAACTTCAAGCACATGGGTCTCTACGGACCTTATATTAACGGTTAATTTACGCATATGATAATATGAGGCTCTACAAGTTTCAAACACATGAGATCAAATATAATCACTGGAACCAACTGATTCACGTCAATAACGCTCCAACCAAAATCTGGTAAATTGGCAGTCTGGATATAATTATTCGATAAATCCAAATGACATTCAGCTATCCTTAATGACCAATTAAGAAATCAAGAGAGTTCTTGGTCATTTTTCCATCCTCCCCTGATCCCACATTTGCCAATATTGATCACCTTTCTTTGGAATTCTTACATAAAGCCCATCGTCTTTAGCAACCCAGGAGATGCTGTAACCATACTCATACTTCTCGGATACATGATCCGTCCACGCATCGAAGTGGATGTGGCGGCCGCCGTCGGGGGCTATGTAGCACCAGAACAGAGTCGACACAAAAAGAAACCCCGGCCGGAACCGCCACGTGAACTCGTTGGTCGGGGTGATGTTCTGGACTCCCAAATCGCGGGTGCCGGACTTGCAATGGACAAGCAACACCTTCCCGCCGGTGAGCTCGTTGGTGACGTGTACATGGTGGTACGGCCAGAAGGAGTACGCCGCTGCGGTTGTGGCAGAGAGCAGTAGATTCGAGATGATGACGGTGGTGCTCAGAATCGCTGCTGTCGAGATAACTCTGCTGCTGCTGCTGCTTTCTATCCCCATGACTGGTTCGTACCCTAAGACACTTGTTTTCTCACAAGGATTCAAAGCTGTATATTCTTCTTCAGTGTATGTGTACATTTATATCTTGGGTAGTTATTTTTTTCTGACATGATATGATATATCTTGGGAAGTTAATGATGCTGATAAGCTTCCTTAATTAAAAAGGTACTCAAGGTATGGTAGTTCTATCAAAAGTTTTTTAGTCAATAACTCAATATGCAATGGGCAGGGAGATCTATTATTAAATGTTTAACCATTTATTAGCGTTCTAGAGAGGGAAATTACTTATTAATAATGACCCTTTTTTTAGATTGCATTTAAAATTTAATGAGGAGTAGATCTAGTTCAAAATTGAAATCTGCAAATTCTTACAAAATCATTATTTCAGTTTATCGGTTCACAATCCGAATAATCGAAAACTAATATAAGGACAATGGGTGGGGCCTGGGGGGCTAGTAATTAATCTTTGCACCCTTATGTCATATCACGGTTTTATCACTGTGATAAATTAAAATTTCACGTTATTATTTTACTGTTTTCATACGATGATTTTACTACTATGGGTCATCTCCCTGACTTTATACCCTTGACATATATTCCAGTGTGTTTGTCGGTCCGCATGTCCCTATTGCTTCGTGCACACTCCTTTGTCCAGCTTCTTCGAGATCAATTTTGATGTTGTTGACCGCCAAGATGACCTCTATTTGTCAGGTTTGAGTGTACGAGTTTCGCACGGACTTGTGTCGGCTGAGGATATCCAACATCTTATTCTTTCGATCTATAGCCAGTAATAGCAGAGCCGGAACTCTCAGTAGGGAAGCCTAAATATTTTAAGAACACGAATATGAATCTTGATAATAGGTGAGTTCAATGTGGCTCCGCCACTAATAGTTGGTTGAGCTACTTGCATGCTTTGCATTGAATTGATTACTTAACAAAGTGACTGTCGAATGAAACTCGAACGTCATGATTCGTTAACTTCAGTTGTATTTATATTCAAATACTTTGATGATCCTCTTTTCCATTAGTGTCAACAGCTGATTTTTTTCATTATACTGAATAAAGTTTAGAGTGATTTCTCGAGTCAATTTAATTAGCTCGATATTTTTTTTTAGTAGTGTTATCATGTTGTTTGTTTATTCTTGTATGGCTGAGGGGTTGTCGGGTTGATATTGTGTTGTGTAATATGTGGAACTTTGGATGTTGTACTTGTAGGGACTTGGTAGGCCTATTGACCCGTCGAGATTTAGTAGGCCTATTGGCCCAATGAAGTAGTAGACCCAAAGCCCAAACTCACCGCACCTCTGAAAACGCGACTGCCACGAAAGGCGAAAGCTTCTCTTATCCGAAAACTCACCGCACTCGTCATTTCCCTTCCTTTCAATCACAGAATTGGTCCCTGGAACGAAAACCTTCGCTCTGAAAATGTTGCCCGCTGCAATTCAATCCGGCGCCAATGGCGCTTCCCCCTTCTCCTGTTCCCTCCTCCACCAGACTCCCACAACCACCACATTCAAATCCACGGCTCTCGCCTTCTCGAAACCTTGTCCAAAACGACAGTTGTCCTCCGCTCTCGATCGAAAGCGCTTCTCCGCATTCGCTTCGCCGGAAACGGTGGCAGCTCCGCCATCGGAGGACGAGAAGGAAGTTGAAATTCCGCAATCGTTTGACAAAGTAAGCGACTGAGTCTTTTTCTTTTTCTTTTTTCAGCTAGTTTTTCTTTCCGTCTCCTTGAAATTTTGTGTCTGATTACTGGTTGGTATTTTTTTGGGGCATTTTCTTGGGTTCCTGTTTGGCAGATAAATGAGGTGGTGGTGAACCAAATGACGAAGCCTCGGCTGGTGCTTAAGTTCATATGGATGGAGAAGAACATTGGGTTGGGGCTGGATCAAGTAATTCCTGGACATGGCACGGTGCCCTTGAGCCCTTACTTCTTCTGGCCTAGAAAAGATGCTTGGGAAGAGCTCAAGACTACTCTGGAAAGCAAGCCCTGGATTTCCCAGAAGAAGATGATTATACTTCTCAATCAGGCTACTGATATCATCAACTTGTGGCAACAGAGTGGCGGCAATCTCACTGCTTGATATTCCAGACCTCCTGCGCCTGGTTAGTAGCCAAAGATCAGTACTTTATCCTGTGAGAGGTTGTCTGTAGATTGTAATAGAGATTGGTTTGTTAATGCTGTGGTGGCCTGTTTGTTCTTTGCACTGTGTTTGGGTCTGAAAGGTTGCATGTAACTGAGGCAATCTTCTGATGGCTGAATCGCGATGGTTTTGGTAATATGAAGTGTTCAGACAGGATACATTCATTGTTGAAAGAAACTCAGCTTGTCAACAGTTTACAAACAAGAGTGTAGGATTGATTTGTATGGTATTCAACCACATTCAAGCTATAGTCAATGAAGTAGTTGCTGCAAATTTTCACCTACCAGTCAAATGCTTGGTTACTTTAGTATGTCTTGATTGAGAAGAAGATCAAATGGCATATGAGAACAGCTGCATACAGCAAGTTGCAAGGATCTTACCGGCTGGATCCAAAAACCTGCAACATCTGCCAAAGTCCTAATGATGTGGTCTTCAGATCATTTCCCCTTGCTGCATACAGCAAGTTGCAACGATCTTACCGGCTGGATCCAAAAACCTGCAGCATCTGCCAAAGTCCTAATGATGTGGTCTTCAGATCATTACCCCTTGCAGCAAGGTGATTTGATTATGGCGAAGGGGTTCTACTATAGATGCTTCTAAGGTTAAGGATCCTAAAAGAAAGTAAACACGAGAAGCTGTAAACCGGAGATCAAACCAATGGGTTCAGCATTCCATGACGTAGCGATAAGAACATTATGATACCATGTTAAATTATATCGATGTGATGTCTGATATATGGTTCAACCGATACAACCAATAGATACGATATTAATAGCCAACATAGGCATCTCCCTGACCTTCGTGACGATAATTTCACAATATGGTTCGACTGTTGGAGCTGAAGCCTGAAAGGGTATCTGTAAATGTTTCCATACTGCACAATTGAGATGATTGAACGATGTTCAAGTGTGATCACAGATTCACAGGTCACCGAACGGGTGAAATTCATTCCTGATGGGCCGAGGAATGCTGTGGCTTGTTCATGTAAAGTGGCTTAGCCGCTCTGGGCCCAGTTTACAATGGTGAAGGGAGAAGCGCACACTTGGCCCAGTTTCCTAGTCTGCAAGTTTCGTTATCCGAGATCTGCTCACTCGCACCCAAACAAGCATCGGGTCATCTTCTTCCCCAAAGTTTTCCCGCGCATTTCCTCTGATTCCACCCAGCAGTCGGCAATGGCTCCCAAATCTGATAGCCCCAAAGTTTTCTCAATCTGCATCTCTCGATCTCGTTTCCTGTTCCGTATCCTTCTTCAATTAATGTCGATTTCCAGATTCAAAATTTCTTCTCCTACATCGCTTCCGGCAAGCAAACATCGATTCTCCATGATTTATTGATTCTGTGAACTAGATTCTCGAAGGATTAGCAGAAATCGTGCTCAAGTTCGTGAATGAGGTAACGTATATTTTGCTCTTCATGGTTTTCTCCTCTCGAATCTTCCTAGTTCATCCTCAGATTATGCTGTGTGGATCGACCTGATAATCGATGTATTTCTTCAAGTCAAAGTTAATTAGGTTTTTGATTGTGTGAATGGTTGTTCTCAGTTGAGGATTCAAAAATCTGCATGCAATTGCTTGAAGAATCCTGATTGTGAGAATCCTGATTCAGTTAGTTATGGCTTTCTGAATGTGAGAATACTGATTCGGTTCTATTTGTGTATGCCTTGTATAGCAAAATCGGCCGTTGAATTCCCAAAATGTAGCCGATTCGTTGCAGAAGTACAACCTCAAGAAGACTGCCGTACAGAAAGCACTGGATACTCTTGCAGATACTGGGAAGATAAAAGGCAAGCAGAAGATATACATTGCTCGGCAGGACCAGTTCAAGATCCCAAATGCTGAAAATCTTACTGAGATGAAAGACGATAGTGCTAAGTTGCAGCAGGAACTGGCTGAACAGAAGGCGACTACTGCAGGCAGGTAACCGTTTGAGATTGCTTCGATCATCGCGAAACCTGTTTGTTTATGCGGGTATTGTGATGTTACCTAACACCATTGGAGTTTATTGAGCTTTTCTGCACCTGGGTTTTAGTTCCACTAGTAGACGGTTTCATAATTGAATCAGTGTAGTTAATTTGTGAATGCTGATTGCAGAAATCAAGGCTCTAAAGTCAAATCTAACACTGGAAGAGATTCGGGTTGAGGAAGGCGTACTAGAGAAGGAGGTTAGTCATACTACTAGTGTTTTCCCCCCTTGTGAACTAATTAAGAGTTGTACAAGATTTGAGCCCATTGCCTGTTCCTTTGTTTTGGCCTCAGGTGAATGAAATGGAGGAAAAGTTGTTTCCTAATGCGTGGTGGAGTTGCCTTGGTGAAGCCAGAGGAGAGGAAAGCTGTTGGTGAAATGTTTAATGATAGATTGAGTCAGTGGAGAAAGCCTAGAAGGACGTTCAAAGATCTGTGGGATGCCATAACAGAGAACTCACCTGAAGATCTGAAAGAATTTAAGGTCTTCACTATACAAGTAGTTTGTGCCTTTGCAAGCATATCGTTATCATCCGATCCAAGTATTTATAACAGATGATTATCTGCTGCAGGAGGAACTTGGGATTGAGCACGACGAAGATGTTGGAGTAAGCTTGCAGACATTTGCAGGTCTACAGCAGCCTGTTAACAAGCGATTGAGAAGCAACTAATGGACAGCAGTCTAATTAAAGATTTGGGTGCCAAAGGTCCTGGTATGTTTAATCCATGACATAAATCTTGTATTATGTAGACCAAGCTCTTGTTCGCAACTGGTAATTCTTATAACTCCGCGTAATGAACAAAGCTTTACGAATGAAGAAGATGCAAACCAACAAAACAAAAACAACACAAAAAAGCCACTGAAGTGAGTACAAATCAACACTTGCAATTATTAGGAGCAACCTGCAAAATTTATGTACTTCCGACGAGTAAGGTTCTTCTCAGTATCCACGGACGTGCCTGGTCCTCACGGAGAAAGGCGCCTTGAGTATGTTCAAGGTCCTTGTAGTTCTTGATTCCCTTGAAGCTGGCTGTTGTGCATCAGGGTATACATCAACTGGTTCCACCTTCAACCCAGCTTGAATAACCGCAGGGATAATATTCTCACTGGACTCTTCTGCACTTGCTGCTGCCTCATGACCCCCAATATTGTCAGAATCGTCGGCGTTCATGATCCGGTCATCATTCTCCTCCTCCTCCTCATCACTTTCATCATCGAATTGAATTTCCTTGTCCAACTTTCTGGCTAGATTCTCAGGATCCAGACTCGAAGAAGACGACTTTGATTCCGAAGCGGCAGCTTTGCTTTCAACGACGATTTCTTCATCTTCAGGTTCGGATTCAGACTCTTCCATCTCCTCATCTTGGCTCACCATCACTTCCCCATTACCATGGTTGTCAGGGCGGCGTGGATCATCGGAGCGAGAGAGCTCAACAGCAGCTCTTGCTGCTGCAGCAGCATGGGCAGCTGACTCAAACGCTGCCTGTGCTGCGTCAGCCACATCTTTGTACTTCCTCTTCATTCTAACTGAATCAGTGAGACCACCATCTCTTCCAATGTCTTCTCCCGCACTGCTGCTCGCCTTACGTGCTCCAGCTGCTGCTGCTGCTGATGTCTCTCCCTCCTCGTCTTGCTTACTGCTCACGGCATTGGGTTTCGCCTGATGTGGTTGATCTAGCTCTTCCAAGGCGATATTGTTCTCTGCCGCGATCTCTCTCAGCAGCTTGATTCTGGTCTCCCTGTCCGGCTGCCTAGTAGACATCTTCTGTATCATCTGCACAAGAATTCAGCCGAGACATACATCATCGTCAGTAAATCGATCACAGCCAGATCAATTGGAGTATGGATTGAGAACAGAGAAGTGAGAAGATATATATATACACACATACCCTATGGCTGACACCACAATTGTTGCGCAGTTCAACAGCGCCAGCAGCGAATTCCTTCCCGTACCGAGAAGTCAACAGAAGGCGAATCTCTTGAAGCTCAGGGAAATCGCCGCACCTGGAGGATGCAAAGAGCAAGCTCGATATCGCCTCCTTCAGTTCATTGGGACACACCCTGGAAATTATGAAATGAAGATCAAGTCAGTAGCAGAAGAGATCAATTCAATTCGGCTTGAAGATGAAGTTGTTTTTAAGATGAGTTAGTTACGGTACCTTTCTTGTTCGATGAGATGAAGCCGCTCGACGAGGAGGTTGCAGTAATCCTCCATCATGGCGTAGACCTCGAGCATGCCCTGCTCCCTGACGACGTGCTCCACGCGGAGGAGGGCGCGGTCGTGGTGGCCGAGGCGGAGGAGGTCGACGACGTCGGAGCGGGCGTGGTTGAGCTTGACCTGGCGCTGGTTCTTGAAGATGGCGAGGCGGGAGACGGCGAGGTTGGCGAGTGCTTTGAACTTGTAGGACTTGAAGTTGTTCCGGCCCAGAATTGCGTCCAGCTTTCTCCCCATAATTGCTCAAATGAGATCGAGGCGGTGGAAGAGGCGCCGCCGGGAAAAGGAATGAAATAATGAGTCGGTTGAATTTGTGTTGGGTTTTTATTTGGTGAAGATGGTGTGGGCGTTTGTATGTAATGGGGAAGGAAGAGGACAGGTTTTGTTGGCGCGTGTTTTTCTTTTGTTTATGGAGACATTTCTTAAGAGTTACGACTCGTTCCAAAGTTGCAGCTAGCAAGAGATGTTAGAATTGGTGGTTCTTGACGGGGAAACTCAGTGTGTCAAAGAAGCGTACATACGGTGTCAAACGGGATTTTCTTTGATTTGGTATTACCATGTTAGATTGTTAAGAAATAATTAAATGGATGAGATTGAGAAGATACGGTCGACTTTGGCATTGATATTCACGGATTTTAAGGTGCATATCAAGGTGATTTTTTGGTTATTCATCTTTGTAGTGCTTCACAGCGAGCACGTTTAACTTATGTTCTTTCATTTTACTACAAAACGTATTTTTGTCAATTAAGGTCAGTTTCTTACCATAGCGAAAATGTTCGGGTTGTCAAAATTCTTGCTTTGATGTATGTACATTTGTGATAGAACTAGTACATGTTTGAAGTGCTAATATCATAGATAATTTTATAGAATTTATACGTATTGATGATATAATCCGTATACATTTGTATATTTTAATAGATAGAAAAGGTCGTCTCACGCTAAATCTATACCCTAGTTAGTTTAATACACATCGTTAATTATGTGTGGAGGGGGGACCTGTGGAAGTGGGAACGGATGCAATTAGTGGCGAATTATTGCTGCGGGTCACCAAAGTCCTTCACCGGTACATCCTTTTCAATCTTTGCCCGGCCGTGAATGTGCCGGTGACGGAACACAAAATAATTGTATATTTACTTTAATAATACTAATTGTGGATTAAATTTTGAGTTGGTCACAAATCTGGTAATCTGTTAGCTCTCAGTCTCACTACGTTGGACCAAGAGAACGTCTCCCGTTATTAGGATGATAATTTCGATCTGACCAGTTTTATCTGATTTGTTTAATTTGTTTTGTGGAGGTTCGATCTGACCCGACCTGCCCTGACCCGCCCCATTCTCTACCCGTTCTTGCCTAAATTAAATGCAATTTTAGTCAAATTACTTAGGATTTTTCTTTCATTACATCATATTTTAGCTATTATAAAGTTGTAAATTAGTGAAAATATCAATTTCTCCAATAATTTAATTATATTTTATCATATTATGATTTGTTTTTTGGTCTTAAAATGAAAATAATGAATAATTCTAATGCTTTCCATATAAATTGCATACACATTGGGTCAACCTGCCCCGACCCGAACCCGACCTGCTACAAGGCAGGTATGAGTATCGTGATACCCGCCCCGAAACTACCCATTCCCATTCCTACCGGTCATCCCATATTGCCCTCTCTCTTATCAGCTCCATCTCCCGAATAGGACTGACAATTATCCAATTTTATCCAAACCGAAGCAAATCTATCAATCAAGGATGTAGGTTAAGTTTATATGAGTTTGGGTAGAATATGGGTACTGCTTTTATATTGTAAATGGATGTGTTGAATCTGATTAATGCACATTTACTTGAGATTATTTAAACTACACATACAAAAATTGAATCTATTTGTAAAACTTCAGGTATAAAAATCTAAGTACTAAAATGTAATTTTTCATCAAACTTTATCAATTTACCTTATATTTTGGATTCCATAACCAACCCGATTCGGTTGGATAAGTAAATACATATGACTTTGGAAGAATTTGTCATCCCTGCTAACTTTATCATATTACGTGCTATGCATGTGATCACGTGATTTGATGGATCGATTGCACCGAATAGTGATTGGTGTTCCCATGTCCTATATATTATCTAGTATATACTTAAAACTACATATAAGATTTATAATTGAATCTATCTTATAATTCGAGTTACTGAGATCACCTCATTTTTGACAAAAAAACCCTTGTAAAATAACCGATATCTATGAACTGGAAGAGCAAGTAACAACACAGCAGCCGCCGCCGAGACTTGCAGCGACGGACGATCGACGACATTGATAACTGAGATGGTGATGTTTTGCTACAATATATATATACAGATAAGTGGTCTCTTTTAGACTATATACCCTAAATTGATTTGTTCACCCTTCCGTTATATCATTATTATAATTTCATTGATTTGGTAATCACATACAAATAATTGTTATTCTCCCATCTCTCTGATATTTATTGACCATTTCCGCTCGTATGCAGCGTCTACTGTTTGAGTATAATTGAGAGTAGGAGGAAGACTCAGGTGAAAGGTGGGTGAGAAGAGTAAGCAACATGGGGTTTAGGGTAGAGAGAATTAATCCTTAGAAAGATAAGGTTCTTAATATGTAGAGTGAGAGAGTAAAAAATGTGATCCCCTCATCCACCAAAGTAAGCAACATGGGGTTTAGGGTAGAGAGAATTAATCCTTAGAGAGATAAGGTTCTTAATATGTAGAGTGAGAGAGTAAAAAATGTGATCCCCTCACCCACCAAAGTAAATGTCGTATTTATAGGCTACATGGTGGTGGGTGAGTATTAAATGTGATATGACTACGACATGTCAGGCGTTTAGGCCATACCTCTACCTAGGACTAGACAATTTGTCCATGATTATACTTAGGACTATGATGTGACCACTCTTCGGGGAATACGATGTCGTTTTCTTGGTTTCTTGGTTTGGTCAATGCCTGATCAAAACGACGTCGTTCGGCATCTGGGCTCTTCGCCCGCGAGTCGGCCTTCTCCGCGCCCGTGATCCTCACACGAGTGTAGCCTTGGGCATGATGGTGCTAACCAAGGTTGTCAAACCGGTTTAAACCGTTGGTACGACCGGTGGTATAACCAGTTTGTGCCGGTTCATGCCGGTCTAAAAAATGTGAAAACAATTAATATCCAATGTATTTAATCATATATAAAACATATTTGTGGACAATTTAGTTACAATCCAACAAATATCATCACTTTTAACTATTACATTCATAAAATGAATAATAAATTATTATGTTTATTCATTAAATTCATTAAAATGATGTCATTTTACTTAGAATGCGTAAGTCGATCATACCGGCAGTGGCGGATACATGGAGCTCTAAGGGTGTCCCGGGACACCCCTAAAATTTGGGAACACGATTATTCAACCCCCGATAGTAGTTTGCATATAGGTAGAAAAATATTTAAGTGGTGGCGGGACACTCCTAAAATTTGGAAAAACGATTATAATCCCCCAATAGTAGTTTGTGTATAGGTAAATATAAACATTTAAGTGGTTGCCTATGTGATTTGAACTTGGGTCGATGCTACTATTAGTAAACATATTTTTCATTAGACTATAACTCAGTTGTTCTTGTATTTCAAATCCAAATATAATAGTAAAAGGCTATTTTTTATCCCAATTATTTTCAAAAGCTAACGATTAAACCCAATTACGGGCTCCCCTAGTCTAGTAGGATATATCGAGAGAGATTTATAGAGCATTGTTGGACACCGATTGTATTTTACAAATTTTCCAAAGTGCGAAACACGTCATGTGCTTTGTTTTTCTTTGGACAAGTCATATATTTTCTTATTAATAATTATTTAATTATTATTTTAACTTAATTTTTAGGAGAGGACACCTCTATATAAAATTTCTGGATCCGCCACTGCATACCGGTCATACTTTTGGTGTCATGTCGGTTTCATGATCGACACAGGTTGAACCAGGTTCAACCGGGTGGCATGCCACCGACATGACAACCATGGTGCTAACGCACCTGACCTCTTTGGGACGGTGTCGGGCTGCTTCCTTGGCGTGGCTAGACCCGAGCCATACACCCAACATGTACCTAACCCAGTAAACAGACTACCACGTCGGATTTTCTCAATATTATCTCCTTTACAACCCTCCAACTTTATATAATAAATTAAAATTTGTTTTAATTAAGAGTAGAGAAGAAACTGTGACAGTTGCTGAAAGTAGGCTCTTTCTTTCGTTATTCTTTGCCGGATTTATATGAGCTGAGAAAGAGAAGAGAGAAGAAACTGTGGGTTCCTTCCTTCCTCATTTTTGTTATGCCTTGACGCGGTGAAGGTTTGGAGCCTTCTCAAGGAAAGCGACAAATTTTGTTTCCTATTTTTTCCGTTTATTGTTTTTTCGTTCCTTCCTCTGGCCTCCAATAATTAGCAATGTAAAAAATATCCGTAATATTGGATATCCACCTGAATCCAATCTAATTGATTCGGCTAAAATTCGAACCCGCAAGATTTTTAGTGTAAAACTCGAACTCGAATATTGCGGGTAATGAGTGAACATGGTTTTCTCACTATCCAGCCTGAAACCGCCCGATTATACACATGCGTATGTATTTTGTGTAGAAATAATCAATATTTTTCTCTAACATATTTTATATTTAGCATATTAATATAATTTTTATGAAATTGTGTTGTTTTAATTAATTTTCTTCACCCTAGTTAATTATTGCCGTACTTTTCGTCTTACGTAATGTGAGATTACTTGTGAAATATTTAACATATTGGTTGGAGTTATAAAGAGAAACTATTGCCCATGGATAACCGTGGATACCCGAAACCCGAACGCGTATGGGCACAATTTGGATTTTCTACCCGTTTCTTATGTGGATATGGGTATGGGCAGATCCCGAACTACTTTGGGTAGGGTAACGAATATGCACTATCCGTTACTAACCCGCCCCGCCCCGATCCATTATCATATCCCTACTAGTAATCGTGATTATTGGAAAGTGACAGATTTGAATAATTAATTAATTGATTAATGGGGGATTAAACTAGATAGAACGATTTAGTAGGGGAAGAAGAGGTGGTCAATTGGATATCACTTTCAATAAATATATGCTTGGGCTTGTCCCTGACATTAGATAACAAGTCGGCCGTAGCTCTCTCCTTACCCCTCAACAGTCAACACTAATAACTTGTTCTAAAAGGTGTCCAAATTGTAGATCGATAGGGCACCCGCCATGAAACTTCCTTTCATTTGGCGTGTAGAATTGGGCTTCAAACTTTTTCCATTGTAATCGCCCACAACAACGCACTCCTCACTATTAATATGAACTAGACAGGGAATCTCGCTTTGCCGCAAGGCGGTCAATTATTCGGTTGTTATGGTTGCTCATGAATATTTGATTCTTTATAGTGGTACATTTACGATAGTAATTGTTTTCCTAGGATGATAATTGTTCAGTGATAATTCTTTATTTGATATACATAAACATAGTCTTAGATTTGTGTGTAATTGTAGAAGATTCTAACTCAAGTGGAAAGGAAAGTTCTAAAGAGAAGCAAAGGAAATAGAAAGTGAAATTCTATTCAAAATTACATGTTTACAAATTCCAGGGAGAGAATAAGGAGGAAAATGACAACATACTAATAAGTAGAATTTTTTTTTGTATTTTTAGTGGGACTGGATATTGAACTTAAAAAAGTCAATAGTTCATGGTTCAATAATTAATTTTTATAGAGCGCTTGGTGAATCGTTTATGGATCCTTTAGATCGGAATACATATATAATTTACTAAGTAATGTTGGAAAAAGAAGCCAAATGTGGAACTAAATAAAGAAGATGATGGGCAGTTCAAAAATGAAATGGAGAAGTATACTTTTTTTAATGGTAATTAGTTATCTTTTCACGTTTTTGCCTCCCATAATATTTTTTAGTAGTTAAGTTTTTCGGGAAACAACATTGAACCAGTGAACAAATTAAATCAGAGCAATTTTTGCAGTTCATCGCGTAGTCGCAAAACAAGTGGCTAGTTCATCGTTGCTGATCAAATCCACGAACCGATCCAATATTTTAATTGGTTCATGATTTTACATATCTCGTTAAGTACTAATTAAAAAAAGTTTCATGACATTCAGATTGTGTAGCACAAATTTATGGTCTTCCAAAATTTGTCGAAATCGAAAAATTGCTCGTTCGGGGTAGCAAACGTCACTGATTCACCGTGGCCGTCAACCGTGGTGATGCATTCACCGCTTTCGTCTACCACTGTGAATGCATTCACTGCAGCTGACGACCACAGTGAATCAGTGATGCCCAAACATGTGTATTTTGAGATTTTTTCATAAAACATGTGTATGTTGAGATTTTCTCCAAGGATTCAGTCCCATCTACTAGAAGGGTCCGGTGACCGGTCATACTGCTACTACTTCCCATTGATTATTACGTATTTTTTAAAATTGCTAGATGCATGCACGTGGATTCACATAAACAACTTCAACACCCTACCAAAACTTTGGAAGACTATGTCCACGCCCTATGCCTTTTTTCTTTTCTTTCTATGGCTTTCTAGGGAAACATTGGTCGTGTATATTGAACATCTTGATCATGTATTAGCAAACAAAACCCTAATTTCCAAATGCTGTTTTCTATGCCTTTGGCTTTTCTTTTTATTGAATATCTATGGCTCATGGCCTGCACAATGAAGGTTTTGGAAAGTGACAGCCTTGAATTAATTGGAGTTTATTAGTTTGAAGATCGTTTCTAACAAGACATCATTATATTATAGGCTATTGAAGTTAAACATGTCAAACTCACAATTACAATATCTAAGTCGTATATTTCTTAAAATCAATAAATTTGCATAATCTATTTTGATTTTTACAGGCACGCTCTTAATACATACCATTCCAAAATTGAGCTCCACTCTAATCCGATCAATCCAAGAAACTAAAAGAACAACGGTGCCAAACCGAATTCGTAGATTAGAGATGTCGGTCAAAATATGAGAAGTCGTTAACATTGTGAATGTTCAAAATTTAACAATACTTGGCACACTTCAAAATTAAGTATAATTCTCATACCTAGTTTCAAAAGTCCACAAAAGCACCCACCATGAAGCTCCGCCTGTGGAATTATATCTTAACAAATTTCCTGTGTAATCACCCAGAAGTTTGAAAGACAATTCCTACAGGAAGTGGTTGGATTATTCCTAACTATCCTGCCAGGTCAGAGAAGTAACTAGTGCACAATCTCTAATCATTCGTGTCTCCACTCAACAGCTAACCCTAAAATCTAAAACACCTCATCAGTCATCAGCCCTCAAATCAGAGGACAATATCTTATGAGTAACTAAACATCAACAACTTATGCTGAACAAGAAACCAAGCAACCAAACAACCTCCTATAACCTTCCAAAAAGAAAACCTAAATTTGAGTGCAATCGTATAACCTATCAAAGAGCACACGTTATACCACCTGAAGCTAAACTACAAGCTTAGGTAAGAAAACTTAATTCACTGGAGAAGGGAGCATCAGAAAAACCTGGATCCATCCCATATTATGAAGCACTAGTCAATAACCCATCTTGCACTTTGTACAAACATTTAACTCTTCCAATTTCTTGCATCATGGCAACCACCACAAAAGAGAGACACAGACACCCACCTGAGAAGAACAACACTAAATGAAAATATAAACAATGTACAATCACGTCCATCCATCAACCTTTTCCTTCAACAGTGCCTCCGAAGACTGTGAAGCAAGGACACTCTTAACATTGAGCAGTGCTATCAAACACTTGGATAATTATTATAATCATAATGATACATAAGCTGTCTGATCTACTGCTAAGAATAGGTGATCACACCAATCTAAACCTGATTTGCAGGCGAGAACGCCGCCTAGAAGATGTAGACTTCAAGCTAAAAACATAGATACGATACAGCATTCCACTCAACCTATTTCCTTAAATCAAGGACCATGGACCATGGTAACAACTGTGGTGAGCATAAATAGATTGAGAAAACAGTGATCTGCAATACTAATCTAAAAAGAAAAAGAGTTGGGTACTGGCCGGTTCCACCAAGGGGCTCAAAATCTGATAACAAATACCCTCTGTGATGTCTTTCCCATAAATCTGGTGTTTAATCTAACCAAATATTATGGAACCAATGGATGAAGTACAACTTGTTGCCATAGTGAGTTGACAATTACCCTTCCTTGCCCTAGCATCCACCTCTAAGTTTCCTACATAAGGCAGTCTTAATACTTCCTTAGTTCAAAAGTCCAGTCTTTCTCGTCTTCAGTTGAAACTGTTAGAAGAAAGCTAGACTGCAGACATCCTGCTGTTAAAGTGAGATAAGTTATTACCCTTTTTCCATCTGGCAATAAAACGAAGTGGTCATATTTAATAAAACCTATTGTTCTTGTTTACTCCATACCTTACATACACTGCTCACCGAACTCCAAGCAAAAACATCCAATCCCCTTGAGCTCATTTAGGACTGAACATCAGTTTGAAGGCAATACAAAATATATTCTTTTAAAGACAACTGAAACTTAAATAGGCCCAATACAAACTTGTTCTCGACTCTTCTAACAACAGCAGAGCCAATCATCAAATAGACACTGGTGATCCTGTGACTACCAAGAATAAATATTCAAGGCACTAAAACGTGTAAAACAAATCCCAACAAAGGCAGGATAAGGTTTAAGATAAGAACTAAACACTTGCCACTGCTTATCTTGAACTTAAAAAGAACTTTCCTTCAAAATTCCAAATACTAGCCACTTATTTTTTATATTTTAGCCAGCTAGGTCTAAATATCAGAACATACAGCTTAAAACCATAAACAAGAAGCATTAATTAACTAGCAATTAGGCTGTGTTGTTAGTAACAAGTTGTTAGTCACTACACACAAGAGAGTCACCAACCTTCAACCAATTGATACATATAACCTCTTAGGAATTATGCTAAAAGCATGTGAACTATAATCACACAAAGTTGAAGCAGCAGCCAGAACATAGCACGACCTCCAGACAAAGAAGAAGAAAAAAGTTAAACTGGAGTCTAGGCAATCCATCACCACCACATTCATTATCAAGCTACAAATAGCATAAAAGAACAGTAACAACGACTAGCGTGCAGATAAGGTGCACAGTGTTTCACTGTTTCATAACATAGAAAAATGGGGAACCCTGGCTCCTGACGGGTGTGGGATATACTCATGCAACATGACTAGTATGCAGATCAGGGTAAAGATAAATAATGATATATACATCAAAAGCAATGAACTCGACAAGAAAGAAACAACAACCAAGGTTCTTACAAGAGAATCACGATGATAGAGACAGCACCCTACAAGAAAAGTAACAAGAGTAGATTAGTACTTGAGGCAAACATATAGCCAATTGAAGACTAGCTGTAACAAATGGATAACTTAACTGTGATTTTCTACAGGCTGCAGCAGACCATCTACGAGCATGTGCCTCCAAATTTCCAGAAGACCATGAATCAGATGCATGCAAGTCCATCAGAACAAGAACAATAGTAGAGAAATAACTAAAGAAGATGAAAACAACGAATTAATAATTGCTTAAATTCACTTGACAGAATACATCAATTAGATCCTAATCCAGATATCGAAGGTGTAAAAGGATAGGGTAACAGCAACAGCAATCACACTTAAGTTGCACATTCAAAAAGAGCAAAATTATAAAATCTAATACTATATAGTAATGAAACCCCAAGCAGAACAACTAAATCCGACTAATACTAAATCCACATAAATGTAGTACGAATAACAGTAAGTATTCAGACACAAGCACCAACCAACAAGTAAAAGGATAACATAACACATGGTAATGCAAATTTAGTTGAAGGATCTCAACCATGTTGAGGCTATAGTAGCAGATAATCTAAGATACCTTCTCCCGGGTTCCTTTATGCATCTAAGCCCTGGAGATTGCCACAAAGCAGAGGAAGATATCCTGAACGAAAAATTGGATTAGCCACCCAAGGACAACAATTTAAATGATATAAAATTACATTTATAAACCAGTGACCACAGGATAAAGAGAAGTGACAAAAAAGAAAGATGAAAAATACTTCACAACCTATGAATAGCCTATATTACTGGGATAACAGAAGTATTAGAACAGCTCACGGGCCAAAACAACTAGTAGCAAGGAAGTTCTCATCAAAATACAATAGATTACTAACTCAGACAATCCAGACCATTTCTCCCTTTAATATATCTTTCCGCACTTCAAGCTGTGCCAACCATGTTGAAATACAAATACAACTATAATAGAGGAGCCAAGATCAGCTATGAAGAAGTCACCACTACGTTCATACTCAATAAAGATTACAAGAGTGAAAGAAAACAAACGCCTTTGGCGAGTTGTCTTACAATAGAAACAGTACATTCCCTCGAAAGAACCGCCAGTAAAGCGTACTCCTGACCAAACATCACCATTTGCGAATCCAGAAATCGTCCACAGCTCATAGGGACCCTCATAGAAGATAAAGACAGATAATGCCCAATCATTAGCACTGAAATTAGGATAAGGCGACAATATACAAACATCAATGCAACGGCATTTCTGGAGTCAGAAAAGCAGCAACATGGTTTCACTTGCCAGTGATGAAAGGATGGTTTAATGCCTGAGAAACTGTCATCCTCTTCTCAGGATCCAAAACAAAAATCTTTTCCAAAATGTCTTTAAAGTTGGCCAACATTTTTGGATCTTCGCCTGGAGAGCCTTTAACAATTGACCCAATATCTTTAGGCTTTACATTCACAATCATCCTCTTCATTATCTGGAAACAGTTAGCTCAAAATCTTAGCAAGCTCAAACACACAGTCAGCAACTAACTTGAATTGGAAAAAGAGCCATCTCCAGTATACCTTGTTACTCACAGGATCTTGTTCTGTAGCATGAAAATTCAAATCCTGGTCGAAGTGTTGATCAACAAATGCACCCTGCAAGGTCGTCTAAATGCATGAACATAGTGCACATTTTATGGAAGCAGATCAAAGATAGCCTACTGGATCAACTCATAACAAGAAAGTGAGGAATAATACACCCCAAACTGAACATTCGGAAAAGGAAGCACTCTCACTAAGGAGGTCCATATGGAAGCACGCACGCACGCACAAGCAAGCAATAATAAAGAGTCTATGGCTACCAATACAGAAAATCCCACCTTCTTAAGCATCTTCTTTGGAAAAGGGCCCTTCAGTTCCATGTGCAGTCGCAACATATCATTATTAGTTTGACCAGGAAAAAGAACTTTCCCTGCATAAAGCTCATATATACAGCAACCAACGGACCAAATATCCATAGGGTGGTCATATGACAACCCAAGAACTGCAAAAAGAACAGCTGAAACTGAGACATTTCATCAAGCAAAATGCAATCTATAATACATGTGAAGCAGAGCCTATTCATTCATTAGATGCAGCCAAACATGCACAAAAAGAGAGCTCACTTATTTCCGGAGCACGATAAAAACGGCTGACGAGGTATGGGGTAATTTCATTTTTTCCGGCAAACATGGCATTGCCAAAGTCGCAAAGCTTCAGCACATTTTTTGCCTCGTTCACCTGCAGAATGGTACGGAAAAGATAGTAAATAACTAGAATGGAAAACAAAATCTAGGAAGAGTAAGAGCAGGAACAAACTGGACATACCAGCATATTGTCCGGCTTTATATCACAATGAAGAACACCACAGTTTCTTAGATGCTTCAACGCAATGAAAAGCTGTTTCGCGTACGCCCTTACAGCTGTTAGTTTAAGCCCAATATTGCGACCAAACTTTTTTAGCACCTCGCGAAGATTCATATGAAGAGACTCAAAAACCAAACAAGAATGATTTCTGTACTTGAAATGCGAAAGGAATCTAACACAGTGGCGTCTGTTCTCCAAGTCTGCACCAGCTAATTTGTTTAAAATTGAAACTTCAACCTGGCCAGCCTTGTTCCTACACGAGGACACGAAATAGAAGTTAGCAAACCAAAAAGCAAATAGTGTTTGCAAAAGAATTTGACATCCAAATATAGAACCTAGCTTACATTGTTTCATTGTTTCGTATAATTTTTATGGCCACCTCGTCCGGTTCATCACTTCCAGCCTTCAGATCCTTTGCACGGACTACTGTGGAAAAGACTCCTTTCCCATGAGCAGCAATAATTTCATAGCGCCCATCAAGAATCTCACCAAAACGATAGCCTACATCAAGCACATGTATCAATGGAAGCCACCATCAAACCAATGGATAAGAGTGCATTTCCACCAACAAAAATGTTATTCCTGAAAAATGTCCCAACAAAGAAGTGTAATTATTAAGGGAACTGAAGTACTCACTATAATAGCCCTCAGCATCATCCCAATTGTCATGTAGAGCATTCCGCACCACAGGTAAACCGTCCACCTTGCCCTGCAAAACATTACCAACTGAAAAACCTCAACAGAAGAGTAAACACAAATCTTAAAAAAAATAAAAAATAAAAATAAAAAACTTTGGCTAGAGAGAAGTAATAGAAGTTTCCAGCATCAATTCCTACATCCCAAACTGATCCGGAGAAGTACTCCAGTTAATAATTACAGCCTTACAGGTTTTAGAGCAATGGAAATGTCGGAACCTTACCGTTTTGCGAACTGCAGTAGGGGTTTCTCCAAATATATCATCGCAGTACCTTTCCTCTGATCTCTCACTCTACACCAAAATGATGACAAACATAACCTTAGGTCTATAATTGCAAATTATGACAAAACAGTGATACTTCCTATTCCTCAAGGTGATCAAGAGGAGCACAACTAGACGTAACAAATAACCATACAGAATTACAAGATTGATAATGCCAGAACCACCACCTTTGGAGTACCCTCTCCAAGCCCGTGAGGCGAGGAAGTACCATCAGAAACCTGGACCCCGTTTTGAAGTGGTGACTTAACAACAGATACTGCAGGCTCCGCAACATTCATATCTCCTCCATCCCCCCTATCATTCACAGCCTCTAGAGCTACGCCACTGGATGGTAAAGGTTCACCAGGGTGCTCCCCGGACTCCCTAGCTGCACAACATGGCGGGAAAATATTTTGAAGGCAACAAAATAGCAGTACCTCAAATACAAGTACATATATGAAGAATATAACCCTCTGTAAGATAAATTTCCCAATGAAGAAAACAAAGGTACCACAAGAAATAAAGTTCAAGCGAGTATATGGACAATAGTCATGCAGGAGACTGACACCGACACGTAGTTTAACACATAATCCACTACAAGAAAGCTTAGCTTGCAAAGCTACTCCATACATGAACAAAAATTATCAGTTCAATAGTTGAAGGAAAATCTAAACCAATCATTCATTGGCTTCAAGTCAATAAATCATACCATACCTTTCTTCACATCAGGGAAATTAGACTCAGCCTGCTGATGCAACTGCTGCTTTCGATACTTCTCAAGAATGGCCTCCCTCCGCTTTCTACTCTCCTCTTTGATTTTGTTCAAATCCTCCTCCTCTTGCTCAGCAAGAATTAATGTCATCCTCTCTTCAAAATCATCCTGTTCATCTTCATCCCTATTGCCAATAAACAAACACGTCCGATTAAAAATGACATTGCATTAATACAACTACAAACAAAGAAAAATTAGAGAAAGAAAACAAATGCAATACCTTTGCGTTTTCTCCCTGTCATGATCAAAAGCATCACTGTTAGAATCATTCTTCCTACCCCTATCATTTCCGCTATTTCGACCGTTCTGCAACCCCTGCTCCCTTTCTCGCCCCCTATCATATTCCCTACTTCGCCCTTTGTCCCTGTGCTTATCCCCTTCCTTATCATTGTCTCTGTCTTGGTCCATATATTTTTCTGACCCTCGGTCCTTTGCCCTCTGCTTCCTCCAATCATGATCCTCCTCTCTATCCCTACCTCTCTCTTGTTCTCTTCCTCTTCTCTTCCCTAAATCCAGTTCTGTGTCCCTCCTTTGCTCCCGTTCCATATCCATGTCCCTACTTCCATGCCTTTTTTCCATCCTCCTGCCCCTGTCACCGTCCCTGTCCTGGCTCTTCTCTCTTTCCTGCATCTTCCTTCGATCCATGTACATCTCTCTGTCCCTACTTCTTTCTCTTTCCCTCTCCCTTCGCCTATCTCTGTCACCGTCCCTCTCCTGACTCCTGTCTCTTTCCTGCATTTTCCTCCGATCCACGTACACCTCTATGTCTCTGCTTCTTTCTATATCCTTCTCCCTTCTTCTCTCCCTGTCCATATCTCTCTCTCTACTCATGTCGATTTCATATGCATCACGGCCACGATGTCTGTCAGTCCGCCCTGGATATCTGCTGTAACTAACACTAGATTCTCTGTCCCTATCCCGATCATATTCTCTCCTGGAACGTACATCTCTACTACCTCTGCTTGTTCTTTCATCATCAGAATGCTTTTCTATTTTTTCATCATATTGCCTTTTTTTCCAGCGGTCTTCATCTTCTACCCCACTGTTGGAATGAGATCTTTCTCTACCCTGATCGCGTGGTACAGATCCCCTCTTAGCATGAATCTCATCATGATACTTTTCCCCAGATTCTAACCGAGCATCCTCTCTGTACTTAACCCCCCTGCTTTCAGGAAAACTACTTTTGGCATTGTTTGACTGGCCCTCAGCATCATTTGCCTCATGGTTAATCTTATGCTTGAGACCTGATTGAGACGGAGACAGAGTGTCTGTATTGAAAATCTTCTCATCATCATGATAAGAATAGCTTGAACTTCCATTAACCTTTGATTCTGCACCAAGCTCAGAAGCACACTTACGTTGATCACCAGGCTTACTATTTCTACTCAGACTAGCACACTTGTCATGTTTAACACCAGCTCGAGAATTGTCCATGAAGCCATCATCCTTGTCATCAAGATTATGTCCCTAAATGAAATTCCAATGGTTAATAACAGAAAGGTACTTTATAAATGCCGAAGTAGCAAAAATATATTGCAGAAACCAGCTCTTACAAATCAACATAACGGCACCAGTTCTCCATTGAAACGCCTAGAAGAAACTTCTTTCTTTTTGCAATTCAACTCATGCGTATGAGTCGCGCAAGCGGGTTCTAACACACATGTTAAGGACACTATAACAAGCTCTCGCCAACGAAAAAACTTATTAGACGCCACCAGAAAACTCTTCGAATATTGAGTGAAAATCAACTCTAATATGAATGTAAACAACTTAAAAAAGGTACCATTGGTTGAATTCCCGGACTCAGAAGCAGCAAGCAGAAACATTTCTTGGTAAAAAGAATAAAACTTGGGGGAAGAAAGAACTTTAAAAACACTGCCAATAACGAACTGTCTTCTATCTTCCAAAATCACAGGGTAAAAAAAAATTAAGCATCTTAAAGGGAACCAGACTCTCCTAGAATTCGCCCAAATTCAAGCATGGTGGAAGGAAAAACCCTGGATAAATATGTTGAGTTGAAACAAAACACATTACAGAAAGGGGACAGAACACACCAGATTCTCAGAATCATCAATGTCCTTGCCTGATTCAGCACCCTTAACAACGCCAGCAGCGGACCCTTCCTCGTCCAGAATCTCCCCTTCCTCCACGTCATCATCAGCCAATTTGCAATCTGGGGCAGTATGAATCGCCAGAGAAGCAGCAGCAGCAGGAGGAGCATCTTCCCCGCCGATTGATTTGGTTTCCTCGTCGTGCTTCTTGCTACGATGGTGGCGGTGGTGCCGGTGACGGTGCTTGTGTCGCTTGGAGGACTTCTCCAACTCGTCATCGGAGGGCGATCGACGGTGCTTCCGACGGGAGGCATCGCTGTCAGTCGCCATTGAGGGAAAAGGGGGATAGAATTCTAGGGTTAGGGTTAGGGGTTTTGATTGAAATGGGGTTTAATCGAGCCAAATTGGAGAAAGATCTGTGGGCGACAAAAAGGCGGTGCGGAATTTCGATTCGACGAATCGAACGCGATTAGGTAATGGTGCTCGTAATCAGAGGAAGAACAGGACGCCGCGAATTATCGCTGATTATTAGCGAGGGGAAGCAGAATGGAAGATTGGTTTGGTATTGGATATGTCGCTGTTCAGTTTACAGGATTTGCTCCTGGACAAGGAATTGGATAAACGGAAGGCCCAGTGAAATCACTGGGCCGTACCAAGTTTTTTCTTCAACGGTTTCCTTTTGTACCAAGTCTAATCGAGACCAAACCGGTTAGATGCGTTATTGGTTTTCCAGTTTCAGTTTTTCTTTTGGGTTCGGTTTTCAGGTTCTAGGTTCGGTTTTGCTCAATGATTTCAGGTTTGGTTACAGAACCCGAAGAACATAACAACCGTTCATATCTCATAATTTGTTTCAGTTTTCGGATTTTTGTTTTGCTTTAACCGAATCCGAAACTGGGAGTTTTCGGTTTTGGTCAACCAAAACCCAAAAATTCTCTTATTGGTTTGAGGTTTGATTTTCAAAGGCTAATGGGTTCGAGTTTACGGGTACATTGGGTTTCGATTCAGTTATCCTAACTGACACCCCTAATGTGTACAAGAGTTTGCTCGTATATAAACAATATATATCCTCAATTATGCGCTCAATATTTTATGGATGTTGTTTACTCTTCGACATACGCAATATGTGTTTCTAAGTAAAGACATTAAACTCTTAATCGATGAATATTAATTTTTGACTGAATCCATAACATGCTTATGTATTAATATCAAAATGTTTGTCTTCCAGTCGTGATTCATATTATTCGATGGTAGAAGAAATCTTGGTCCCTCCCATTTGACTTCTCCGGAGTTTAATTGGTGGAAAATCATATTTCTTTTGCTCTATATTCGTGTCTATAACTATAGGGGGAAAATGGCAAAAATCTTCTAGACGTGCCCAAAATTCCTATTTATAATAAGCTTTAGGAGCTTAAATTCGACCTAAAGCACAACATTGTCCCAACCCGTGCAGCTGTCTAATGCGGACAAGGAGATGCAACACGGTCGTGTCCCAAAGTTTGAGGCGCCCAACAATCCTCAAACATCTCATGGGAAAGATCGAAGTGTTTTTGAGCAATCATGTTATTTACGATACACTCCATTTATCATGGTAGGCAAAGTCAATCGTTTGGAGAGGTACATGAAAACAATTAGATAGAAGAAGTAGACAGAGTAAAATACATGTAGTACTGATTTGTGCATCCTTTCCCCTAACTACATTACATTTGATTTATAGTCTGTTATGTACAAGACATGTGTTTTTGTCTGTGACATTCTACATACTTCTATGTGCAGGTGACAGGTTTTCACTATGGATCAGTCGCCATTAGCGGTAGCAATGAAGGCTGGGTGATGATGACTCATATTAATGTCTTGATGATGATCAGGTGGTGGATGATCATGCTGCTGGCCGCCTCCGCCGTCGCCGCCGCCGTAGTCGTCCTCCTCTTCGATATGAAGGATTTCAACCCTGCGCTTCATCTTCTTCCTCAGCTTAATCGCCACATCCGACGCCCTGAATCTCCCGCAAACCGTCACCGTGCACTGCTGCTTGTCTATCATATGCGTCTCCACCCCTGCAGGCAGGGCAAGTGATCATCATATTGTAATGTAGCTAGTTATTCTCTAACCTGCCTTCGAATAACATCTCGATCGAGTTGCTGGAACGAACTGGTTTTCGACAGACATGAAACGCACATATTACCTTTCATTTGGAGGATGATTCTCCTTGTTTTCCTGCAACAAGCATTGCAGTCTAGGTTGAGTCTCATCACCATGCAACAGCTCTGCATATGCATGCATATGTTAATATCACCACAAAGTTAAACAGTTAGAACAAAAAACAAGAAACTAGGGAAGAGTTGAGAGGAGGGGACTTGCCTTCACAGGAATGTATCCTAAAACCGGCATTTGGAAAGGTTTCGGAGGGTTTTTGGTGATGATTTTTTCAGAAGAGAAATCACCTAGCTAGGTCAGGTTGGAGACATATGAAATGATTATATGGTGAGGTGAGGACCAGATCCATGCAGGTTTGGCAATGATGGGTTCTTCTGCTGCCCCTTTTGTACAGGCAGGGGAAAATGGGAGAGAGGTAATAAGAATCTGATTCCTTCTTTCAGTTCTGGCAATTGGGTTATGGTTTGTCACAGGTTAGGTGCCATCCTTAACTTTGTCTCCAAGCCCATCTTTCGTTTGCATTTCAGGTTTCTGGTACTTACTCCCTCCAAGCTAGGGTTCATTCCAAATCTCTCTTATAGCTATTAGAATGGAGTTTGCCAATTGACTTAATAGATTCTAAGTTTATCTGATGAAACTAAAGAGAAATTAGACATGTCTTATTAGAATATCCACCAGTCAATCATGTGTGTGTATAATTATTCCTTCCTTTCCAAGTTGGCTTTACAACAACGTTTAAGTAATGCAATACCTCCATCAGAAAGGTAGAATTTGCTTCAACTTAGGTAATAAGCTGGTTTGATTTGGTTGTTCCATTGACAACCACCATAAAAGTGTCAGATAGAAACTTTTCGTTGAACTCCCAACTTGCGACATTAACGAATCGATCTTATGATAATCGAGAGCGAAAATATTTATCATTTTTTCTGGATTGAAATGTTAATAGGGAGTATCACGTATTAAAAAAAATAACTTGTGTATCCCTTTTCTTTTTTTTGCTTGTTCTTCTTAGTTTATGGGAAGGAGAAGCATGTGCCACCATTGAATTAACACAAGATCAGATATACATGATTAAGCCAAGATGCTTTACAAGAATGCATTTATACATGTACCCCACCTTCCTCCTTTTGCTTCCACTACTGAGAAAGGTTACAGAGGTGGAAATGTGTTTGCAAGATGAATATACCCTCTTCTAGTCTTCAATACCTCTTGGAAGAAGAAGAAGAAGAAGAACCCAAAATGCGCCTGCTGATAATGGCGATTCTGCTTAAAGGGTTCCTGTAAATAACTCTGCCACCACCTCCTGGTCCTGGGTATGTACAAGTGAGAGTCACCTGCTTCTCCACCAGGTTTACTGTTACTGACTCTGTCCCTGACAAGCCATCACCATAACATCAGAACCAGAGGAAAAAACAAAGGTGCATAGTAGTTTTTATGGTCCCTCCAAACTCCCCCAACTAGGAGGAAGAGACAGAATACAAGAACAAAAATGACAACTGTACAAAGTAACCAAGCGAAAGATTTAGCAGATGGGGGAAATGAATGACTAGAATGAATGGTCCAAGACTTTTGGCATTTTGAGAAGAGTCTTCATTTCCCTTCACTTTCATTTAGACTTTTCTAGTCGTCTTCATTCACAGCAGAGGGAATCTAGCCGTTGCTCTCTCCCTCTCTACAGAGGAGGAACTCTTGTGAAGAGTTTAGCTTTAGCCACTCACACCCCGTAAACCATATGTAAAATCATATTTATTTAGATTGAATATGATAACAAGAACTTTTATGAAAACAAATCCCAACAGCATTCCTCACCAAATAAATATGTTGATAATCAAGAGTCATGACTAGACTATATCCTTTGGATTCATAGAATAAACATCAACGTAGACTTACTCTATTGAATCGCACTATTCGCGATCTTAACTGTTGAATTCGCAATCTAAGCTATCTCTATTACCGGATTAGAGTCCTAATAGCAAGGGAAGTGTGCGCCACCACATGTGATTGTGAAAAAGAGAATCCAGAACTGGAAAAAGCAAAAAGGTGACATTTCCCATAAGAGCCCACTTTTATCATACAACCCAACCCGTACAAGATACCCAGGTGCAATTCTGAAGCTTGAAACCTTTTCAATGCACGTTGGAGATTAGACAGCACCACAACAGTGTAAAATAGAAGAAATGGATGAATGAGAGAGAAGTTGGAAGCAGCAGCAAAGCAACTCACCACTCATTCTGGAGATAGCATCAGCTACCCTCTTCTGACACTGTACACACTGAATGTCTGCTGATATCACGACCTCCTGGACCTTGAACCACAACCAGCATAAAGAAATCCATTACTGGATCATTCAGAGATGAACTATAATGATGTTAATCAGCAAAAGAGAGGAAGAGGAAAGAGTGTACAAACAAGAGGCATGGACAATGACTCGATGGAAGCCAGGCTACTGATCCCAGGAACAGACATGCTTCTCTTGTTGTTCTTCTTGTTCTTGCTCTTCACATAGTTCTCTTCCTTGTGCTGCCTAACTACAAGAGCCATTCTCAGTTCTCACCCTCCAGGGGACTTAGAAAGAAAGGATTATAAGAACAAGAAAAAAGTGGAAAGAATAAACATGATGGTCTGCACCACTGGGAGGAGTTGAGAGGTGATGATGATATGAGAGAAGGAAGGAGAGGAGAGGAGGCTCCTTGATCGATCGAGCTTTTGTTAAAGTAGTGGAGAGTCCCCACAACACTCCCCTGCCCTTTTTATTGCCTAGTTTGACGAAGATACCCCATTGCAGTTTCTTACCGAGTCGACCCCACAAGATGTCACTATTTCTTGTGCAGACACTTTCTTCCTTTCCCCATAATTATTTTTTCTCCCGTTAGATTGCTTATGAAACCAGGCTCTTTCTTAGTTTCTTTCATATAATGGGCTGGGCTCCAGCTGCAGCAATGACCAAGCCGATGATATAGAGAGAGCCAAATTGCTGCATTCCAATGGTGTAGACAGCTTCCACCTTCGGCTCCGGCTTAAACTCTCTGAAGCACAGGTAAACAAAGCTATAAGTAGCAGTAATACAGCTTGGTGTGATAATATTGAAAAAGGTAAAAGTGAGTGATCAATGGGGTAGATATGGATGATGATCGTTGAGCAACTACTTCCTTCGATGTGGATAACATAAACTAACCCCACAATGTGGCGTTATTATTGTTTTCAGGGACTGGGTTAGTTTAGTTGAACCTGGCCACTAACATTAACATGATATCCCAACAACCTCTTACCTCTGAAGGGTCCGGCCCCAAACATAAGTTTCAGACAATCCGACAAAGATTCTTTAGTTGGCTTTGCTTGTTCAAGTCAAGTTCTGTACGAGCTATGCCTGATAACAACCTTGAACCCTACTGTTCCTGTGTGTAAGAATCTTGAATCAAGATTTCCCTCTGCTGCCTAACTGCCCATTAAACCTTTTTATTTATGAAACATTGCTCCTGGAAACACTGGGAAAGAGAACAGATGACAGAAATATTAAAGGACAGAATGAGGCAACATAACGAACAAGGATGCTGTCAAGGTTTTCATTAACCGCAGATTGTTGCTGATGTACATGTTACAGGAATTGGATACTAGAAACCCATCCAAAAACTTATGTTCTGTATTCCTCAGAGGAAGAACAAACTCCCGCAGAAAGCCTATCGGGATACCAAATAGCACAACAACAAGATTAGTTGCAAGCTAACAAACATTTACTTCTGCTCCAGGCAATACTGATGAGTGAAAGTTCCAAAGACTGCATATGCCTGCATCAAGTGAGATGCACACAGCCAGCGTCTAGTTAAAAGATGTTGCTACTCCTAATTTCAACAACCCAGGAAGAACAAGGCATGAGTCGTTCATCTGGACATCACTAAATTTGCTAACGGCTGTACAGCAGAGGATCCAAACATTGAATCTCCCATGTACTTGCAGTTGTCATGGTCAATGCTCAATGCATTTGAAATCAAAAGTCTGGCATTCTGTCCGGGGATGTTTAGAAGACTCATTTTGCTGCTGTTGTTCTTCTGGTTGACCTTGAGGTCAGAAGCAGGTGTTCCACCACCACTGGACCCGCGTCTTCTCTTCCTTGAGGATTTCCATCTGAGTTTGGTCAGCAAATCATCTTTCGACAAATCCAACACCACTTTCTTCGATTCTTCATTTCTATCATCATCACTTCTGGAATCTAATCCTAACCTGCTACAGTCAGTTTCAACTTTTCTGGAATGCTGCTGCTCAGAACCTAATCTGCTACTGCTGTTGGTTTCAACGTTCATGGAATGATGCTTCGGATCAGAAAGTATAGGTCGGGCCATCTTACTAGCAACTGGTTGGCTCACCCTAGGCTTGCTTAATGACTGAGATAGGATAGAATCCACATTCGCAGGCCTTGCCTTGAGTTTTATCCAACCATTCTCCAACCATTCTTGAGACTGTCTCAAGTTCGAACGAACAAACACTTCTTCCTTGTTCTCTCCTGCAAGAAGTAGTTTAATTTATAAGAAACTAAAGACAAGAACCACCGCACAATAAACAAACATAAAATCAACTTGAACAAACCTGGAAAATGAACACGAATTTTCTGCTCAGATTCCATTTCAACAACGATTCCTTCCCACCAGCCATCATGCCACCACACATCGACAGCAGCTCCAAGTTTGACGTCAAACAAGCACTCTTCATCCAACTCAGGGGCAGGACGGACAGTTTTCCTTCCAGCTATCCGGATGCCCAACTTATCAGGACTAGCAACTCGAGATGCCAGCATCCATTCCTGTAACAATGAATAACTATCTTGTAAAATCAATCTCATCCCTGAATAAACAAAGAGTTGCTTTCTTAAGAAACAAAGACAGTTTTTTTCTTAAGAAACAAAGACAGTTTAAAGAGGCAATAATGATACAGCATACATACCTCCAGCTTTTTAGCTTCATCAGCTGCATCTTGAATATCTGCATACCTCACTTTCACTTTATCCTTGTGCTTCTTAATTATTCTAGCCCTAAACCAACATCCTCGAATTCCACTATCCTGTGAAAGCACTTCAACTTCATGGCCAACCTTCAGATGTTCAGCAGGGTTTGCCTTGGCCTTGGCCTCTGCCTGGGATAACAAGGCAACAGTTTCTCCTCCCCAAACAGGAGGACAGGAGTCTACAACTTTCCTGTCAGGCAAACTGCTGCATAAGTCGTGACTATCCTTCACTGTTTCCAGTTTATCAAGTGAATGCAAACCATTATCTCTGGATCGACAATGCCTCTTTCTAGGCCTGATCTCAACATCATGATCAAACTGCTGCAAAGCTGCCTGATCTTTTGTTGAACCAGAAACAGGGTACATATGCGTCACTATTTCTTGGTTCCAGTAGCCCTTCACCCTAGTGACATTAAAGGGCTTTACTTCATCATCTTCAAACATATGGTCACACACAAAAGGGTCCATCCTAGTATGTGCTGCTACACTCCGGAACTTCTGAAAGTGCTGAGGACTGAGGATGACAGCCAAACCGTCTATGCATTCAACACTTAAATCTTGCAGACAAAGAGAGAAGAAAACCTCTCTGTCATTGTAATTCTGAGGCAGAGGAATACCAACCTCGTCAATTTTGTGAAACCATCGTACCACAACCATCTTACTGCCCTTTGAATCTTCATACATATCTTCCAAATATGCAACAAGTCTTTTTCCTTCTTCAGCTAGAACGTACACAAAGTCATAAACCTGAAAAAGATATTATTACAAGTCACAATAAGAAAACAGAGCAAAAATACTTGAGCGCAAACAATCAACAAGAGATCTAGTAACTCACAGAAATTTTTACACCGTTTCTATGGAAAGATGGAAAGTGCTTCCTTTTTCTCCTGCACATCCAAGGGGAGCCCAACCACGAAAATGCTCTAGTAACATGACTGATTTTCAGAGATTGAGGATCCTGAAAAAAGAAAATAAAAAAGGTTATAAATCTATAAGAGCACTCCATGGATTAACCATATTACCGACATGTGTCCAGTAAAAGTGAATAATACCTTGATGTTCAAAAAATCAGATGCACGGGCATAGCTGCTGCTAAGAGGTTTAGCTAACACAGATGACTGTTGATGCGATGAATCTGTAAATCAAAGCGCATTACCAGTAAGGGCCATCACCAAGGAAAACAGTGAAGACGGTATATACAGAAATGCAGGGAAAATTCAGAAACAACACTAAATACCAATTATACAAGTGAGTCAGGTATAAAATCAAACACACACAAATGACTGAAAAGGCCAGATAATAACATGAACATTCATTAGATGACTAAAAGCGGAAAAATCAACAGATCAAGTCAACACCACGAGTACATCATGACAATAATTTTCACGGGAAAAAAAAAAGATCACAACCTAGAAATTGAGGGCATGAGGATCCGATGCTTTCAACCAGCTCTTTAAAATTGAATAAGCATCCCTGCAGCCCAGATCACAGTCAGTTTGCAGTAAGAGGCACCAAAAACTATATCTGATGCTCATTACTATTGAATGGTTCATTTTCGCTAAATATATACCGCAGCACAAATTATAGATCACAGTCAGTAGACTCAGAAGGATGAATATAACATAGCAGTTACATGAAGGTGCGATTATAGATAAGAGGGCAAGCTATTGATTGACATGGAGCCCACAGAGAACAGAGGAAATCATGAATCGAAGGAGAACAAAAGATGAACTTCCTTAAAAGATTGTCAAGGGAAATCAAAACAGAACTCGGTCATTGACTAGAGAAACAAACCCAAAAAGGAGAAGCATAACACTCTGCCATTAACTAACACCCTCTCAATTAGCACATGCAGCTGGTCCAGACCTGTCCTCGAGCCAACTACCAGAAGATCATATTTTCAAACAACACCCAGGAATACGAAGATATTGCTTAACAGGTTTGATGGGTAGACCACCACTCCGCCAAAGCAGAGACCTTTCGGCAGAAAAAAGCAAAGCAAAAGCAAGAACTCTACCGAGGAAACCACTTTCCCAGACAAACCAGGACATCGCAGACACCAACAAATTTCAAAAATCTCAGCGGACGTCTTAAGAACTCCGGAACTAAATAAAAATGAACAAAGAAGTGGACAATTTGAAACCAAAGTTGGGGTCTTTTATTCCAATTATTGATTTACTAACCTGAAACTATCGAGTTGAGCCAATCAATGACCTCGTGCCGGGTCCTGAGCTTCAACAGCGGGCCCATAGAATCGAATAGGGACCGAATCCGATTGCCGTAGCGGTAAGACACATGCCTCAAGCTCTTCTCTTTGCCAACGACAGCCAGATCCGTACCTCCGTCCTTCCGCCTGAGGTAATATCGCACCTCCGCCCTCCCTGTATCGCTCGTCGCGCTCACCTCCTCCCAGCTCACATACATCGCCTCCTCCGACGGCGAAAACGCCGGCGCCGATCCAAACCTCTCCATCCTCCAGCCAAAAAGGGGAAAAGGAGAACGGGAAACCGAAGATGAGAGAACTCTCGAAGTCTTTGGCGTCTCTATCTCTCTCTCTCTAAATCAATCGGTTTGGGAAAAGGGGGAAATTGGTTTCACTGGGTTTCGCGGATTTTTTAAATGAAGGCGGAAGCGTAGGAGCTAGGGTTTGGCGGAGAAGATGGACGGCTGCGATTAAGCTTCCACGTGGGTCCACGTAGGAGAAGACGGTAGGAAGAAGCGCGTGGATTTAAAATCTTGAATTCCGAAACTACCCATCGAATGCGGAGAGGGGTTTACGATATTACCCCTGCTCGGGACCCAATTCTTATCCCGTCACGTGTCTTATTTGCCGGGTGGGGTTTCGGCGGAAAACGACAAGGAACAAGTTGTGCGAAAGAGGAAAATTGATTTAATTAATTAACTTTTATTTACAAAAAGAAAAGTAAATAAATAAAAGGTGGTGCCCGGAATTGCCGTATTCAAAGTGGGAGACTCGTCAGTCTAATTTGCCAGCTGTCGAAGTCGAAGACTGGCTGACAAGTCTAGTTCAGAGATTTAAATCACGAATAAATATTTAAAAGAATTGGTGTATTAAATGGTCTCATTCTGCTAAATTGTTATTCGTCGTCCGATAATTCAAATTTTATCGCCCTAAAACAGACAAGTTGACATATTTATCTCTCAACTCAATTTTATCCTAAACCATAAACCGAACAATCCTTCTATCCTTCCCCACCCAATTCCGCCGCTGGCCACTCCAATCCCTACCCCACCCAGACACTGTCACTCCCCCACCCAAATCTAGCGCCCACCCCAATCCCGTTGTTGTTTGGTGGCACTATTGTAATTCAAGCCGGTTATTTCATGGCACTGTTTTATGTATCAGTTGTTCTCTGTTGAAATTGGGAACATTGATTCCTATGCGAGGTTCTTTGAATAGGATTTCGTTACTAGTTTGTTTGGTGGGAATCCTCTTAAGTTTTCATTTTTGCTTCTAATCTACCTGTGTCGCCGCCAGAAGGAAGACGCCGACCAACACATGCCGGGTTGAAAACCCGTCGCCGGCAAGATACGGGACGGACGATGAATTTTAAGTGTTTGAATAATAAATAAATATATGAACTAAGGACATGAAAGTAAATTTGATTTAATTAGGGAGACGAATAGCAATGCCCTTTTACGGGTTAATTACATGGTTGGTCACTGAGATTATAAAAAATGTTCATGTTTCGTCACTCGAAATATTTAAATCCAATGGTGGTACTTCAGTTTACTGAAAACCGTTCACATTTGGTCACTCTCCGTTAGTCGTCGTCCATCTCCGTTAATGGAGTCCGTTAAGTGATGACGTTGACAGACAGAATTGTCTAATCAGCACTATTTAACCCAGCATGGTGCGACTCGACCCGCCATATCATCGAAACCAACCCAACCTTCGACCCTTAAACTAAACTGCCCATATTAGATCCCTAATTTCTAAAACATATCTTCAGCTCTCGCTCTTCTCCATCTTGTCGTATTAATACTTCTACTTGTCGGTGGCCGCAAAAGTATAAGCCTTCTTCCTGTAGGCTGTAGTTGTGCGTTACCTTCATCAACCTCAACTTCAACCTCACCACCAGCTTCTCCAACCCCATCATCATCCTAGCTAATTAACTACTACTGCAACCACAAACAGCAACACTAGAAACCAAATACTTAGACCCCTGTGAGGATATTGCAAAATGGATGGGCGTAGCAACTTCCACATATAGTGTGAGGCTGTTATATACATTGCAAGAGAGAGGTTGAAACTCAAAAGAGTTTCTCATTCCGTACGTAGCCTTTCCCAATAAGTTTCCCCAACTCAAAAAGTATTTTGATTGTCGTCGTATTTCGTCGCCGACAACAAGAACACTGTCAGGCTGGTGCGTTTTGCGTGGGGACTGAGGCCGCACAGGATGTTCCTGGACGCGATTGAGCGGTTGGTGGGTGTGGGGATGGCGGAGCCAGCTGCAATTTTCCGGCTGATGAAGGAGTCGGATCAAGAGGCAGTGGGCCGAAGGAGAATAGTGGTGGTGGTGGTGGTCAAACACGATCGAGAAGGGGAAAGGTGGAGAACTGGAGATCTGTTTGAGAAATTAGGAATTTAATTTGTGTGGTAGTTTAGTTTAAGGGTCGGGTCTGGTTGGATAGTTGGGTTGGTTTAGATGATATGGTGGGTCTTAGTGACATGGCGTGTTGGGTCACATTATTTTTGGGTTAAATAGGGCTGATTAGACAATTTTGTCTTTACGTTATCACTTAACGGACTCCATTAACGGAGATGGACGACGACTAATGGAGAGTGACTAAATGTGAACGGTTTCAGTAAACTGAAGTACCGCCAATGGATTTAAATATTTCGAGTGAACAAACATGAACGTTTTTTGTAATCTCAGTGACCAACCATGCAATTAACCCCATTTTTTACTATTAAGAATTGTTTAAGAAAAATTGTTACATGAGATTTACAAAATTAAATAGTGTCGTTATCGCCTATAGGTTTTACAATAGAGTGTTAAAACTTTTTTTAGTATGGTGCTAACACTAGTCCAATCAATATGAACATTTTGTTATGATACTTTTTAATTAATTAATGAAAAGAAGGAGAGACATGTTTGGTATTATGGAAATTTGAAGGAAGGGATATTTCACGTGTCTTGTGCAATTAGATGGGAAGGGGTGGAGTACCACAAAGTTTATTAAAACAACCCATAAGTCTTATAAAATATACCACAACTCTAATAAAATATATCACTTTATTATATAAACAAAATTATTATAATGGTTAATAATTGTACACCCTTTACTATTACAAGTTAACAAATGTGTCATTCTATTATTTTGCACAAATATGCTCCTCTATTATAGCTAGAGGTGTTCAAACAGTGTGGTTACTGTATAAGCCTGGAAAGTACCAGGCGGGATGGAGGTCGTTCTTGTTGAGATTATGTAGAAGGGATCTAGAGGCGGGGCCTCAGATACTCTCCGATGATTAAGTCAGTGTTTTTAAGAGAGAGAAAGTAGATAGAGAATGGGTAGGTCAGTTACCATTAAATGATGTGGTCGGTCTCTATTTATAGCTGATGGGAGTTGGTATGAGCATTTAATGCTCTGTTGAGCATGTACTAGGCGTACTTTCCCATGGTAATGCTGTCAAAGTAGCCATGATTAGCACTATTATGGTCTTATCGAATTTATCTTCCCTATGCACGCTCCCGACTGTAATTCCCGCTCCCGGTGACAGTTCCCGCTTCCCGTATACATAATTTCTACTGGGACTTGTCTCTGTTTATTGGGTCAGTTCCTTTACCATGGCATAGGTTTGTTTAGTTATCCCACTGGACCCAACAATTGTCCTGCAGGCGGGGAAAGCCTTTGGATTTCGGCAACTGAATCCTAGGTTTGGGGCGGGAATACTACCGAAACCTAGGACCTGGTATACAAGCCTCTCCCTCCAGCCGTCAAATCAGGGATATCACGTCTCGGGGTTGAGTCGTTTTGCTTGATTGTCGCGTGTCTGACGATACGTCCTTTCCATTGGTCTTAGGAAACTGTGTTGTCAGACTTTTTGAATTCACGCCATCATTACTACCTATATAGCCTTTTAGGGTTATTCGAAAATCTTCTTCGAAACGAAGCCTCCTCCCCTTTAAAAGGTCATCGAACATTCCAGAATTGGTAAGTAGCTTCTTTGTTTTTCCTCTCGTTCATCTATCTTCTTCTTCGTCAATCGTCATCGTCGTATAACGATCTTATTTTCATTATAGCCCACTATGGTCGTTACGAACTCCGGCGTTATCTCATGATGCCTTGTGGTAATTCCGACGCGACTTTGTCGTCCTCCACTGGTTCTGGGTCTTCGTCGGGCCGAAAGAGGTCTTTGGCTGGAACCTCCGTCGTCACCATTGTTCCAAGCAGCGCTGCTCCCACCGCTGTCGCTGTCAACCCTTCCACTTCTTCGATCGTTCTAGACTCGTCTGAGACGGTTTCGGACCCTATCACCGCTGCCGCTCAAGATATGCTCAATCTGAATATTTTATCGCCCTTTAGTATGTTCGATATTGACTGGGATCTAAGTTGGGTAGACGTGGACTTCGGCGGATCTTGGTCGGACGATGACCAATTTTTGCTAGATAGGGATGGGGACAGTTTGTTTGAATTGGCAAATGTTAATTTGGGTTTAGGCGTAGAACCTATAGCTTCTAGGGGCGACACATCCGTCGTCGGGAATAACTTGTCAAATTTTGACGATATTTCATTTGCACGTGTTAGCACTGAAGAGGGGCTTAGTATTGACGAGTCAGCCTCCGCTGAACGGATTGATTCTCCGTCTCTTGAACTTTCTGAAGACACTTCAGAAACAAATTACCGGACGGTAGAAGAAGACGAGTACTCGGTGTGTTTTCATGCGCATATGTGGGGAAGGGGCGATATTCCCGCTAGCGCTTTCGACCGAGGCCCTGATAGGTATAGCAAGTTTAAACCTGCTACTGTGCTTACACGCCTTCAAAATTATCAACTCCCCACAGACTGGAAATATGCTTCTCCATCTCCGAACTCGAGAGCTGGTACTTGTCTAAAGGGTTGGATCACAATTTATACCGAGCAGCTGAAGCTGGGGTTACGCGTCCCCTTTGATCCTCTTATCACCCAAACCCTATTGTGTTTGAACTTTACTCTAGGGCGTTTATCGCCACAGTTATTTTTCATTCATGCGCTTACCGGCTCGCTTGCCAAAGAGTTTGCGTGTAACCTTTCTTTGTCGCATTTCGGTTCATATATGGGCTTCGTCGGATCTAACGTATGGTATTTTGGGAGGCGGGACAAGGCGTTTGGGTTTGTGACCGGATCCCCAAAGTTGGACTCTATTTGGTTTAAAGACTTCTTTTATGCGAAGCCTACGACTAAGTGGTATTCCGGTGACAAAGAGCCGAGGACGTGGTTTCCCCATGGGAGGAAAGAGAATTAGGATGCGAAGCTTTGGACACCGGAGTCCTCAAAAAATTATGCATTGAAACTTGCTGAGAAGTCACCGTTTAATGTGAGGCCCAGGGGCCAGACTCTGTGGGAGCTATTCTGACTAAATTCTTCGGAGATGTTCAGTAGCGTGTGTGTTGTCTTTCTAGAGTGGTGTTCGCTTTTATTCGTGATACTGACTTGCTCCTTTTTGCTCAGCTATGCATTTCGGAAGCATGGCTCTGATGGCAAGGCCGCCAATGCTCTCCAAGACGAGTGTTCCGAGGAGCAGGAATGCGTCTAGTGCTGCTTCAAAGCCGGGTTCCTCGTCTATCCCACCTGTGGCGGTGCTGGGCCACTGATCAAGTCCTCTAGGATCCCTGAGCAGGCCACGCTTACGAGCGGAGGTGATGGGGTGATGACACAGAACACTGGACGCAAAAATGTTCGCAAAGCACGTGACATCGGGAAGTGTGTTGCTGACGCGTCGACGGAAGATACAAAGGAGGGTCGGAAGAAAACTAAGACAACCACGTTGACCGAGTCCATTGTATTCTCTCCCCATTCTTTGATCCAGGAGGATTGCGCCCGACGTATGCTCCATGAGCTGTCTGGCAAGCTTCTTGTGCCTACAAAGTATACGGACGCAGAGGACCCCTCGAAAAGGTACTGGGTTGGCACCATTGCCCGTTTCTTTTGGTCGAAAGTGTTTTGCATGAAGTTCTTTGTGTGCTAGTGGTATGCTATCAACTCAATAGTAAACTTTTAACGCTTACTGTTTATTGTAGGCTAGTGTCGGGCTTTCTCAGATTGGGATGACCAATGAGAAACTTCACATGGCCAACTTGCGAGGTGGTGTAGAAGCGGAGAAATTGTGAAAGCGGATCGCCGAGATGGAAGCTGAGTCCAACAAAGGCCATGCGACCTTTTGCGCGAAAGCAAAAGCCGACAAGGAGATCCTGGAAGCGGATGTTAACTGTTACCACCCGCGGGTCGAGTAGTTGGAGGCATAGAAGAATGAGGCTTCTTCAAAGCACAAGACTGAGATCGATGTTGCGACCAAGTATGCGGTCGCTACATATTTGTTGTTACCACCTTTCCCCAATCGACGACGTGAAGCGATCTAAGGTCATGGCCGATACGGTTTCTTCCATTCGCCACCTGTTCCGCCCCTACCACCCTGAGCTCGAGTGGGACACGGACGCCGTGTGAGATGCGGTTATCGCGTGGGGTACCTCGAAGAGTGACGTCAACTCCGAGAAAGCTCTCACCAATACTACTGGAGGCGATGAAGCCACTTCCCAAAGCGACGAGTCTTAACGGGTTTTTAGGTTATTTTGACTAATCGAGTGTGTCCTCGATTTATTATCATCATTGTTATTTCCTTTTCCCGCATTTGAACAATCTCCGCTTTTAAGCGGAGTTTTTAAGTTTTATTTAATATTCCTCTTGCCTTCGTATGCGTTTCGTTTGTTTATGTGCTTCGTGTGACCTTTCGACTTCTCTTGATACTGCGCGACATGAGTCGGGTACGAACAAGCGAGTTATACTTCGAATAAACCCAAGTCCCCGGTCGCGTTTATCCTACCCCGGAGGGCATTCCACAGGCGGCTTGTTTTGCCTTTGAGGTGGCGTGTCAGGAACAACCCAGGTTCCGAGATGCTTTGATTTTGGACTCGCTCTACCTCGGGGTGGCGTTTTATGAGCGAGATCCTATCCCGTAGGACATTTCGCGGGCAGGTTGTTATGCTTTCGGGGTGTCGTGTTAGGAACAACCCATGTCTCGGGATGCTTTGATTTTGGACTCCTCTGCCTCGTAGTGGCATTTTATGAGCGATATCCTGCCCCGGAGGGCATTCCGCGGGCGGGTTGTTCTACCTTCATGGTGGCGTGTTAGGAACAACCCATGTCCCTGGATCCTGGATGCTTTGATTTTGGACTCGCTCTGCCTCGGGCTGGCATTTCATGAGCGAGATCCTGCCCTCGGAGGGCATTCCGCAGGCGGGTTCTTCTGCCTTCATGGTGGCGTGTTTGGAACAACCCATGCCCAGGATGCTATTATTTTGGACTCGCTCTGCCTCGGGGTGGCATTTTATGAGCGAGATTTTGCCCCAGGGGGTATTCCGTGGGCGGGTTGTTCTACATTCGGGGTGGCGTGTTAGGAACAACCCATGTCCCGGGATGCTTTGATTTTGGACTCGCTTTGTCTCGGGGCGACGTTTTATGAGCGAGATCCTGCCCTGGAGGGCATTCCGCAGGCGGGTTGTTCTGCATTTGGGGTGGCGTGTTAGGAACAACCCATGTCCCGAGATGCTTTGATTTTGGACTCGCTCTGCCTCAGGGTGGCGTTTTATGAGCGAGTCTTGCCCCAGAGGGCATTCCGTGGACGGGTTGTTCTGCCTTCGGGGTGGCGTGTTAGGAACAACCCATGTCCCGATATGCTTTGATTTTGGACTCGCTCTGCCTCGGGGTGGCATTTTATGAGCGAGATCCTGCCTCGGAGGACATTTCACGGGCGGGTTGTTCTACCTTCGGGTTGGCGTGTTAGGAATAACCCATGTCCCGAGATGCTTTGATTTTGGACTCGCTCTGCCTTGGGGTTGCATTTTATGAGCGAGATCCTGCCCCGGAGGGCGTTCCGCGAGCGGGTTTTTCTGCCTTCGGGGTGGCGTGTTAGGAACAACCCAAGTCTCGAGATGCTTTGCACATAATTTTTATACTTGATTAAATATCCTTGCACTTGGATAGGCAAAACACGATTACACCCTTAGTCAGTCATGTGGTACTTGCGCAAGTGCAATGAGCTCCACGTTTTGCTCACTGGCTCTCCGATCATGGTAACAAGCTTGTAGGTGTTAGGACTCAGCTTGTCGCCGATGATGTAGGGGTCCTCCCAGTTTGCTACCAGCTTGCTATGCCTCTCCTTCTCCTTCTTGTCGAACATTCTCTTGATCACCAAATCTCCTTCGACCAGGGGGCGTGGCCTGACTTTGTCGTTGTACGCTTTTGCAACCTTTTCCTTTTCTGCCATGGTGCGTGTGAGGGCTTATTCCCGTTTTTCCTCTGTCAGATCGAGCTGGTGGAGGATATTGATGTGGTTATCTTCAGGCCTATAAGCTCAAACTCGGATCATTGGTAGTTTCAGCTTCGTGGGGACCATAGCTTCGCAACCATAGGTTAAGGCGAAGGGTGTTTCTCCCGTAACCGTTTTGTATGTGGTGCAATAAGCCCACAGGATGTGCGAAATTTTTGTGGTCCATGTCCCCATCGCTTCTCCCAGTCTTCATTTTAGCCCTCTCAGTATGAGCTTGTTGGATGAATCCACTTGAACGTTCGCTTGCGGGAACGCGACCGATGCCATGCTGCATTTTATGTTGTGCTCCGCATAAAACTTCTCGAAAGGGCGGCAATCGAACTGGGTTTTGTGATCTGTAATGATTGTCTCCGGTGTTCCAAAGAGTATCATAATCTTTTGAAAAAGGAATTTCTGCACGCGTGCGCTTATGATTTTCTCAAGAGGCTCCGCCTCTATCCCCTTCGTGAAATAATCGACGGCGACTACCAGATACTTTTTTCCCAACAGTGCATTTGGGAATGGTCCTAGCAAATCTAGCCCCCACCTTGAGAATGGCCATGGACTAGCAATTTATTTCATCTCAGAAGCGGGATGATGATGTTTGTCTGCATGAACCTGGCATGCGTGGCATTCTCGCAGGACTTTGAGGGCATCCTTCTTTATGGTAGGCCAATAGTAACCTTGGAGAAGGATGGTCCTTTCTAAACTCCTTGGCCTTATATGTGTGGCTCAGGTGCCTTGGTGTATCATTTGTAGCGCTTTCCTTGCTTCCTCATTTCCTAGACACTTCAGATATGCTCATGAGAAAGACCTCTTGTATAATTCTCCCTCTACGACAAAACCGATCGCTTTCCAGCGGAGCGTTTTAGCTGCTGTCAGGTCTACAGGAGTGTAACATCCCATTTCGGCTAAACCCATATTTTGATCGCTAGAAAGTTCGCGATTTAAAATCGAGCGTTTTAATAGTATTTCGGCGAAAATCGGATTATCGATCGATCGGATAAGTATACGTATTAATTATATATATATATATATATTAACTAAGCGGCCGGACATATATAACTTCCCCGTCCATTATCATCATCATCATCACTTTTTCAATTTCTCAAACGAGAGTAAACGAGAAGCAGAGCACGCACAGGGAGGCTTCTGTGAAAAATTCCCAAGCTCCAATCTTGAGCTACAGTGATCCAAAAATCCCGTAAGTAATGCCTAATTCATCCATACATCGTGATTTATCGATTTAGAGTTTTAAAACGAGTTTTTGGTTCAGGAATTTCTTGAATTCCCGATCTGCCAAATTAGGGTTTCGGAGTATCCGGAAGCCAGATTGAGCCCGAATTTCATATACGAGCTTCCTGCAGCGAGGTAATCAATCCCCTAGTTCTAATTCCTGATTTTCGGCTATTATTTAGGCCGGGGTCCAAACCGCTGAATTTAGCTCCGGCCAGGGTTTGATGTGTTTTTATCAAGAATTTGGCCTGGAGCCCAGAACTAATATTGACGGGGATACTGCAGGGGGTATTAGGACGGTCTCGGATTTTAATTCGGGGTTCGTTCGAGAAATTGACGTTTTAGTACGGGAAGGTTAAACCGGTGTTTGAACTACCAGAACTGGTGAGGGATTAGCACGACATACCGGGTTTGTCGTATCACGATAATTATATTAATGCTTAGAATTGACCTAGGTGAACTAGAATGGCATGATTAGGGGTGTATGGACTTTTGTGCTATATGATAAACCCTGGACTGTTGTATGATATTATTGACTTGCCCTAATCGATATGAACCTTGTTTATGTGGATGATTGCATACATGTTGTCATTTGTGGCTTAACTATTGATATGACTTCATGGTTGTTCGATAAGGGGTTTTGACATGGTGTGATATTATGATTGTATTTGGATCCATAAGTGGGGGAAATAAACTTCCCAGGGTGATATTATGATGTTTTAAGGAGGATGACTTGCACGAGGGTTTATCCCGAGGAAGTGCAATTATATGACTCCTGATCTACCTATGTTGAGCCAATTATGGTCAGGTCAAGTACATGTGTAAGTAATGAATTATGGTTAAGCAAGATGAGATATGAATCATGTACAGGGATACCAAATATGAATGTTGTGGTCTCATGGTCAATTACGTAGTAATTAGGGCTCCCTATGCTATTACTCTATTATGATATGTATGATAGTCACACCTCTCATGTGGTGGTGACTGAAGAATTCTTACGAGATATGACCACACCCAGAGCGGTGTCGGGGTATGACTACACCCATAGTGGTGTGGGGTATGTTTGACCACATCCGACCGGATGTTGGGGTATGTATGACTACATCCGACGGGATGTGGGGTATGTTTCCCGGGAGAGTTATTAGCATGGGAGTAGCCAGGCGCCTATGATTAAAACATGATAAGATGCATATGCATAAGTCAAGGTGGTTGAGTCTTTTGCCTATTGGGATATGAGGATGGCTGAGGTCCGATCCTAGTGTTTTGGTTTGATTGTTAGATGTATGATAGGGGTATGCTCTGTTATGAACTCACGATGCTATGATTATCTCACTCAGCTATGAGCTGACCCTCTTTTATTCTTCTTCTCTGCTTATGCTATGTGTAAGCAGATCATCAGCAGCAGCAGTAGATAAGTGTTAGGTGGGAGAGGAGCTAGAGTTGAAGCCAGGATGAGGTATGGTCTTCAACTATTCTGTGCTTGGACTACTACTTGGGATTTTGGCCAGTGATCCACACCTTTTTGTAAAAATGTTTTGAGAACGTTTTTCATGTGCATACTAGCTTCTGATATAGTGTGAGATATCCACAGGTGTGGAAAGTTGATGATATGTGTATATTTTTGTAATTATGTAAGTTGTGACGATTATGGCTTGTATCAGTATAGTATGCAGTTGTGTAGTATGAAACTGTGACTTTGGCTATGAAAGCCAATACTTATGGTTGTGAGTATATATGTTGTGATGAATTATTTTGCAGGATAAGTTGCAAGAACTGTTAGCCCATTACGCGAGTAATTCATGTCGAAATTTTATTTAGGTAAATTTTGATAATTAATGTAACACCCGAGATTATTTCCGCTGCAATTGTATGAACAATATGATTAGGCAAAACGTATAGGGTAGGGTGTTACAGTTTGGTATCAGAGCCCGGTTCCCTCTTTTTGTTGTTATGGCGTACTATACCCTATGGGAGGTTAAACACTCCTAAGGAGGGGAGTGCCCCATAATGACTTAAACTGGGAATTGAGTTTGACATGATTATGTGTATTGGTATATTGGATGAAATTATCTGCATCATGGTTTTCAAAAATTGAGTTTTGAACTTATTTGTTTTCGAGTAATTATTTTGGGAAAATTTTTGTTTTAACCAAGTGAGAGATTTGGTGAAGAATGAATTTTGTGTGGATCAATCTAAGGCCAATATTTCCTTGTAGCTCGCACGGAAGTTGTGAAAATGTTCCTACTGACCAGTCGAGAGGAGTGGGGGCGGTTGATGCAAGACCGCCAGTATTAGATTATGCAAAGATGAAGAGTTTGGGTGGTAGGGACTTTAAGGGAGATGTGAGCCCAGATGCTGTAGTAGAGTGGTTGAGAGAGATGGAAGATGTGTTTGAGTATCTTTATGCAACCCCAGAGGAAAAAGTGCAGTATGTTGTTTTTCTCCTAAAGGGGTATGCGAGGAGCTGGTGGTCCTCAGTCTCTAGAGTTAATGGTGAACGAGTTCAGTTCACCTGGGAGGAGTTTCTGAAGGCCTTTAAGACAGAGTTTCTTCCCGAAGCTTTTATCAGGGCAAAGAACAATGAATTTTCCAACCTTAAGCAGGAGAATATGACAGTTACTGAGTACACCATCAAGTTTGTTCGACTGCTTTACTTTGAGGATGGGTTGGCGGATACTGAGCATAAGAAGAAGATGAGATACTTGCATGGTCTGCGCATAGGATTGAAAGAAAAGATCCACAGGGTTGATGAAGAGAGCATGGCCACAATCAAGGAGGCAGCACTTAAGTATGAAGCCTATGAAGTTGAGAGCCGAGAGGAACACAAGGCCAAAGAAGAGGAGAAGAAGAGGAAGTTTGGAGTAAATTATGCTGGACCTCGTTACCCACCCAGGAGAGGTCCTAGCAGTTTTGGGAGAACACCAAGTCAATCTATGTCGGGAACATCATACAGGGCACCAATATCCTCAGCCACACAATTTCCATTTTGTCAAGTTTGTCAGAAGAGGCATATTGGAGAGTGTAGGAGATTTTCTGGTGTATGCTTTCACTGTGGCCAACCTGGGCACATCATGAGGGATTGCCCGCATGCGAGAGAAGTAAGAGCTACACAGTCCGAGCCTTCAGTGCAAATGAGTAGAGCCCCATTCAGGGGTGGTTACCAGGGAG